GAAGACCGATCAATACCCAATTTTTTCATCAAATTAACGCGGATAAATGAACAATTCGTATGAATTTATTTTTCTTATAGAGAAATGAAAGAGTAAATCGGTACCGAAAATCGAATATCGTTTAATACCATCAATCAGTGTCAGAAAATTGTCCAAGTGCAATGACAATTTGTTCTCATTTTTCAGGTACTTACCCCTCTAATTTACTCAACAAATTAACTCGGTTAAACGAACGATCCGTATCAATTTTTCTTTTTTTATAAAGAAATGACAGAATAAATCAGTACCGAAAACCGAAGACCGATCAATACCATAAATCAATATCAAGAAAACTGTCCCAGTGCAATGACAAGTTGTTTTCATCTTGCAGGTACTTACCCCAATAATTTACTCAACAAATTAAGTCGGATAAAAGAACGATTCGTATTCAATTTTTATTCTGTTATAAAGAAATTAAAGAATCAGTCAGTACCGAAAATGGAAGACCAATCAATATTTAATTTATTCATCAAATTAACGCGGATAAATGAACGATTCGTATGAATTTATTTTTCTTATAGAGAAATGAAAGAGTAAATCGGTACCGAAAATCGAATATCGTTTAATACCATCAATCAGTGTCAGAAAATTGTCCAAGTGCAATGACAATTTGTTCTCATTTTTCAGGTACTTACCCCTCTAATTTACTCAACAAATTAACTCGGTTAAACGAACGATCCGTATCAATTTTTCTTTTTTTATAAAGAAATGACAGAATAAATCAGCACCGAAAACCGAAGACCGATCAATACCCAATTTCTTCATCAAATTAACGCGGATAAATGAACAATTTGTATCAATCTTTTTTTCTTTTATAGAGAAATCAAAGACTAAATCAGTATCGAAAACCGGATATTGATTAATACTATAAATCAGCGTTAGAAAATTGTCTAAGTGCAATGACAGACAAGTTGTTTTCATCTTGCAGGTACTTACCCCACTAATTTACTCAACAAATTAAGTCGGATAAAAGAACGATTCTTATCAATTTTTATTCTCTTATAAAGAAATTAGAGAATCAGCCAGTACCGAAAATTGAAGACCGATCAATATTTAACTTATTCATCAAATTAACGCGTATAAATGAACTATTTGTGTAATTTTTTTTTCTTATAGAGAAATGAAAGAGTAAATCAGTACCGAAAATCGAATATCGGTCAATACCGTAAATCAGTGTCAGAAAATTGTCCAAGTACAATGACAATTTGTTCTCATTTTTCAGGTATTTATCCCTCTAATTTACTCAACAAATTAACTCGAATAAACAAATGATTCGTATCAATTCTTCTTGTCTTATAAAGAAATGAAAGAATAAATCAGTACCGGAAATTGAAGACTGATCAATATTTAATTTATTCATCAAATTAACGCGGATAAATGAACAAGTCGTATCAATTTTTTTTCTTATAGAGAAATGAAAGAGTAAACCAATACCGAAAATCGAATATCGATCAATACCAGAAATCAATGTCAGAAGATTGTCTAAGTGCAATGACAATTCGTTCTGATTTTTCAGGTACTTACTTCTACAAGTTAGGATTTGATAAAAAAAAAGTCTTTTCCGAGTCGAAATATTAATTCTACATTGATCCTGCAAATTGCATCCAATTTGAAAAATCAATGCAGAATATCTAGATGCGCAATAGTGAACAAGCTTTGTCCTACCTGAACGTTACATCTGGCTACTCTCGCAGTCTCGCCCATGATGTATCTTCAACAGCGACCGCAGTATTCCGCAGTTATTTAATACTCGTTTATTTCGATAATATATATGTATTTAATCCTTATATTCTTAATTTAAATGAAAAATTTTTGTTGATTTTGATTATATATTCGCTTAACAGCGCAAGAAAGAGACCAAAGATAAAAACGTAACTAGAACTGCCTTTGTTAGAACTGCGCGTGAGATAAATATATAAGGATTAAATAATCATATAAGAATTAGAGGAAATGGGAGATGAAAAATGCTTTTTATTCTCATCATTCTTAAAGTTCTTTTTTCCTTTTTTTCTTCTTTTTTTTTTCTTTTCTTTTTTCTACTGAGAATGATGAGAATTGTAGCTCTCAAAAGAGCTGAAGCTGCAAAAAGACAACGGTTATGTCTAATAATGCTGTTTCACTAAGAGTTCACTAGAGATTTTAATTCAGATTTGGTACAATAAGAAAGATAAACCAGAATGAGAAACGGACATTCTAACAGATTCTAAACGAAACCAGCAATCTGAGCATTATTAGACGAATAAAAATCAACAGTTGTAAAATTTACATCAGATCCTAAGATCATTATTCATAGTTTTTTAAATTATGTGCAATTTTTCATTGAGAACATAATTACAAATTTGTATTGATAAACCGTAGCTTGCCTCAGCAACCTTGCTTGAATAGACATTTATATTTTATGTGAAAAGAAAAATAGAACTCATGTTACGTGGAATTAGGTTAATCGGAGGAATAATCAAATCTCAAGCTATTTTATAATTTTTCAAAATATAAACTACGAATGCTGATCTAATTTCGACTCGGGTATGTCCTTACTTCGAGTAAGGTTCGTTAAAGTCAGAAAAATAATAATGCGTAATAATAATAACTCAAGGTACCTCAAATACCATATATGATGTATCGCTGTCCTCGGCTACGTCTCTCGGCGCGCTCCGAGTCCTCTCTCCATCCTGACTTCTCGATCCGACGTCCTTCTGGTCTCCGTCGCAGCAGCCCCGGATACTCCATCGTAGCACTGGCGACGACACTGACTCTAGCTCTAACACTCGCGCAAGTAAGATTCGGGGACAAAGAAACGCGTATTAACCGCGATACGACTACCGACACTCGTACTACGTCGCGGTATGCGCGTCGTTCGACGGCCCGAGGCGCAATGTCCTTTCCGCAATCACGGAGTCATATATAAGCGTACGAAAACAAACAATCGGGTAGGCACGGTTACCCCCCACCAATAGCTGACTTTGTCGATCAGTGTTGATGCCTGCGTCGTCCGTTAGCTGAAAATGAAAACAACTCGTGTTTTCAAGGCATGCCTGTGAAAGACTCGCTTCAAACTTAACAATATTTATTTACGTCTGTTCCAAGAATCATATTACGCCGAATTCAAACTGTCTCTATTGACATGACATACACGAGTTCTGCGATCGCATCATTGAGCTTTCTTTGGACAAGAAAATCCTGAGAGGAACGCTGTTCGAGAATATCGCATTTTATGTTTCAGGTGCCTTGCAGATTATCGACTCCGATGTAACAGATCAGGGAAAGTATGAATGCGTCGTTATAAATAACACCGTGGGCACGGAGTACTCCAAGTTAATCACGTTATACGTGAAACGTACGTATATTTAATATTATATGAAACTTACCTTTTTAAACAAAAAGGTAAAAAAAGGCGCCAAGTACAAACGCAACACGTATTGTGTTATTTTTAGAAGTATCAAACTCAAATTATTTTTTTTATTGTATATATGTGTACATATGTTTTTACAAGTAAAACTTATAACTATAATAAAACTCTGCAACACTTTTCTACTGTACAAAAGAAGTGATATATTAGAACAGTAACGCCAACTAAGAAACCTATCATATATACATGATTATTGTATACTTAACTTAATATTTTTAGAAATCTCAAATTCAAATTATTTTCTTCTTTAAGATATATATTATGTACATAATATAAGTTTTTATAATATATGTACATAAACTTTTAAAAGTAAAAATTATATCGTGTTATAAAAATTCAACTCGTTTGTTAATAGTGTGCAATATTTAAAAACAATATATTTTTAAAGGTTATGTTATTCAAAATATTCAAGAAAATCTAGCTACAAAAAATGTTCATAACATAAATTTTTACAAGTAAAATTTATCATTATTTATTAGAACACTGAGTTATATGGTTATTTTACATGTTATTGTAACAAATTAATTATTATAACAATGCAATAAAAAATATTTGATACAACAAATCTTGACGCGGCTGCACCAAAAACTATATCGAACTAAAACTTGTTTGTTTATTACATATATGACAGCATTTTTATTATAATATATTCTATAATGAAGGTTTATAATTTATTTATTACAATACTATATAAACTTAAATAAAACATTATACCGTATATGTATAAAGAGAATTTACAAGAACATTTTACTATAATAAAAATGCTGTCATGTATGTATTAATCAGGTTTTAGTTCGATATGAAGGCAATGATACATCATGGGTCTCCAGACGGATCAAATCGTTTATTATATAGGAGACTTTGATATGGCAACATGTATGTAGAGGATTTAATATTTAATATGTACTTTTATTTTTCCTGCTCACCCCCCCCCCCTCGCTCTTTTTAGACCTTCGGGCATAGTCTGGCATAGAGATAGTAACCATGGTTGCAGCACGGACATAAACCGCCTGAAAGTGGATAAAGCACGGACTTCCACCACATGCAAATTTTACCACCAAGACCTAAAAGTGGATGTAGCATCGTAGTTCTTCTCTCAAAATGGATGCAGATGGCGCCCATTTCCAGTGCAAAAAATCGGTGTCGCCGAAAACGCCGTGTTGGCCGCTCTCAGCTTCCTCTCTGCTATAACTGACAAATTTATTACTGCTTACGTCTCATGGAAGATTCACATTGTGTCCAATGTCCGACGTACGACGTCCGATATCGGACGCAGTGTGAATCCTCCATTATAGTTTAATTTTTACAATAGCTACTTACGTTCTCACCTGTGATTGGTTAGCTCGGGGATACAAAAAAGCTTAAGTAGCAAGAGATAAGCAATAAATCAAGTAATTACAAATGAGAACATAAGAGGTGGCTGTACGTTCTTAAAAATAATTGGCCAATTTGTTTATTGTTTATATCTTATCGCTTAATTTTTTCCATGTATTCTCGGTTTTAAACGGTTAATGTAAATTAGACCAATGATTGAATATCGTGTGCAATGTGAATCCTCCACAAGCATACTTGGCACGTAGCCATACTTATAAAAGAGCAGCACACATGCGCGAGAAATTTGGCTTGACTGGCATCATTGGAATAGCTTCTTTCAGTACCCGCTGGTGCTCGCGATTTTGGCTAGCGAACCATCGTTGCAGATAGTTGATCATTTGACACGTTCAAACTATTGGTATGTTAGAAAATATTTAATAGCTAATTTAATTTGATCTCGATTCACTTAAAACGACGTACGTCGATTAATACGTATAAATATATAAATCGCACGAGTAAGTGAATTCGCCGATCGATACGACACATGTTAGGGCCATATGCGATATTCAACTTTCGGAAAATTAATTTTTTAATATAAAATATGTTATCCCGTTTGCAGTTATTCGCAATAACAATTTTATTTGCCGTTTCAAAGTTAATTTCTCAAAAGCCAGGCACCGGTATTATGCAGGTTCCTTTACAATTTCGGTATTTTAATTAGTAAAATAGCAGAACAAAGGAGAATGTGTATGTGCCAAATTATTATCGAATTAGAACGCTGTATCAAATCTATAGCCACACATGTCTGTATTTATTATTATTGTATTCTATTGACAGAGAATCTGTTTATCTATTTGTCTATTTATTTGACAGCCTTAGGTTATACCAATCATTTAATATACATACCAACTAGTAAGTTTCCATTAAATTATCTTAATTCACTGACATATATAAGCAATAATGTATAGTCAATTGGCAAGATACATCTTCATGCTATAGGAGATTAATATATTTGTACCAGATTAAATTAGCTATTGTTTGTATGCATCATAGATATTAATAGAAAGTTATTGGTTGGTAAATTTATATACATATTATATGTATATTAAATACATATTAAACATATATATATATATAAAACTTATGAAATTAACAAGCAAGGAGCAATACAGGTTGTCAGAAACGATAAGAAAGGAGAGAAAGATAAAGAAATCTATACAAAAGCAAAAAATATGAAGCACTTATTGCAGAATTGAGAACAGAGCATCGGAATTAAATGAAAATATAAAATTAGTTAAGATTCAAGTACCAAAGTAACAAAAGCAATATATATTGTGCCATAATAACAGATGAGATATGTATTATGTTGTTTCTTGCTTGTTAATTCTACAGGTTAAATCATCATTTTCCTATATATCTTCGATATACACCTATTAATACATTGAACGCTGAACCAATTCTATATATCTTGCCCCTAGTGCTAGAATGAATTTTTTATTATGCAATGTGCATTATGAAAAAATATCACATAAAACGGTTGAGTTAAACCGCATTGTCATGCTTCATGCATTTCGTAATATTACTCTCGCGCTCGTAATTTTACTTATCTTTTGCTAGTCATTTTTTTTGGTCGCAGTTTTCCACTTTTTAACTAAATATACAATGATAATTTGCAAAGATAATTTGCAAATGGCGAGAGAATTGAAGCGTCACTTCTACAGAGCTTATCACATCCCACACAATCATTCGCTAATCTTCTATAATTAAAGTTCTTGTTTCCTCGTTATAGCCATCTTGAATTGTGATATCGGAAAACAGAAAAAAGAAATACACTTTAAAAGTTCTTGTAAAATAAATTGAAAAAAATATGCTCACAAAATGACATTTGCAACTAATCGAGCAGATTTATACAATAGTCTGAAATAGTCTTTCTTTTAACGCAATCATTAAACTATAAAATTAACATGACAGAATTATGAGAAAAAGTAGATTGCACGTTATTAATGTGATAGTGATTTATTGATTATTAAAATAAAAGGAAAATGTTTAAACTATTTAACGAATTTTCTCAGTTGATTACAAATGTCATTTTGTAGATATATATTTTCACTTCAACATATTTTGCAAGAAATTTTAGTATATACTTTCTTGTTTCTGACGATACTAATCAGAAATTGCACAGCAAGGAATGAGGAGCTCAATTTGTTAAATTGCTGAATATGTTATTCGCAAAATGATAGAGTAATTTTTTTGTTCAATTTGAATCTAACTTTCAAACAGAGGATATCGTCTTACTTACGTCAGACACATTGTATATGTGCATAGATTAAATTACAACTTGTAAGAATAGGAGAGCAACATACCAGAACCTTCAGCTTGCCGGGAGACTGTTCTATCAACCAAGTTACCCAGGCTCCGCCTCCGATACTCTTCCTCTCCTTCTTCCAAGGGTCTTAATTGTTAAGATGGTCTTTTAACCTCATTTTTTACAAATGGTCCTTTTTAACCTGATTCTTTAGAAATCTTATTAACCCTTTGCGGTCAATATGTCGGGTCTTGCCCCACAAAATATCTTGTTTAGCTACATATGCTAGACATGAGATATCTGAAAAACGGTATGCAACGTAAAATACGCGATTTAAAATAAGCGTTTGCGTCGATTAATCGGTAATCAAATTTGAGTATCAGAAAAATAAAATCCTAGATTCTCGTAGATACAATACTTAAGCATAAATCTGTGCTTCTTTTCTATTTATTTTGTAAATTGTATGTGTGAATTTTGTAAATTGTAATTGTACATGTAAATTGTAATTGTATCGCAAATACGTTATTACATCAGTCTGGTTTATGTCTAAATTCTTCATTGCAGGATAATATTAGACATCTCAAAATAAGATGTCAACGTTCCTTGGATTTGTCGAGGAGATACCAGGCATCTCGGTGGATCGTTTTGATGGAGAAAATTTAAGCTCCTCTGCATATTTCCTTAGCCATTGTCACACAGATCATATGATTGGCTTGAACCATGAGTTTTTTGCGCATTTGCAACAGTTTGACAAGTACCTTTATTGTAGTAGTATCAGTAAACAAATTTTAAACGCTAACTGTCCAAATATGTATGTCAAAGATATCGAAGTTGACAAAAGAGTCGCTGTGGAATATAAAAATGGAAGCGGAGAGACCGATATTCTTTTCGTAACATGCATTTCTGCCGGACATTGCCCTGGCTCCGTGATGTTTCTCTTTGAGAGGGATGATAAATTAATATTGTATACCGGAGACTTTAGGATCAATTCATTAGACCTCCCGAAATTAAGATCATTGCATTTTCGCAGTGGTTCTAAGGTATTGCCAAAGAAGCTAACGAAAGTATACTTGGATACGACATTTTTTAATCCTAATTTCGCCACTTTTCCGACGAGAAAGGAAAGTGTGAGCATGATATGTAACATTATTAAGAACTGGCTTACGAAAAGCCCGAGACATGCTGTTATTCTAGAGTGTTCCGCTTTATATGGTTCCGAGTTTCTTTTTATGGAATTGTCTAAATTTCTTAACATACCTGTTCATGTAAGGAACATAGTATTCCCCAATCTCTGTCGCATCTCAGATTTAAGGCCTCACGTTACAACTGATCCATACGCTACACCTATACACGCTTGTATGGGAAAAATGGAATGCGGTCTCGGCTTGATGAAATGTCGTTCTGACATTCCTCAAGAAAACGTATTAACTATTGTAGCATCTGCATACAAATGGGAGGGAAAAGATACTAGCGTAATAGGCGCGTGGGATAGTGCTAAGGAAAGGACATTTAATATATGTTACTCTACGCACTCTTCCTTCGAGGAACTTCAGGCATTCATACAATATTTTAAGCCGGAAGATATATTCCCTTGCGTTTGTCCGAAAAATTTGGAACAAATCATATTTATGCGGCTAAAGGAAATCAAGAGGAAATTAAAGGAAGAGAAGAAAGTTGTTGAGGAAAATGAGAAATATCTGTCGCAAGTTTTAAAACACAAAGATATGGATAAATCTTGGACCAAAAACTATTAGTACAATCTGATTATTATGATTATATGATAATCTGATGATTATGTGTACGATAAAATAATGATAAAACTTTCAGTATTTCAATTAATATAATTCTTTTGTTTATGAATTTTAATAAATCGTGTACGTAATAAATTAGACATATATGTATTGTTTATAGTTATATACGAAAGATAATTTTGTATATTTTTCCTTAATAAATATAAAATATCAAATTTACTATATTTGCCTTCTAATATCCTTATTCTCGCAGCTATTCCCGAGCGGTAGAAAAAGAGAATAGTTTAAAGAATTTTATAAGAACGTAATATTTACATGTACACAAGTCCTTTTTCTTCAGTGCTTATTTCTTGTTTACAGAACATACATTTGTACCATTTTTGCGTGATAAATAAAATAACAAGAAAGAAATGGCAACCACAATGGTAACCGCTGCGCTGGCTCAGGAGAAGGTATGGCTCGACAAACCATCCTACGACAAAGCGGAACGACAATACTTCGAGAAAATGGCCAAGGTAAGAAATTGCCATGTCGCTGCTAAGAAACATCTGTTGTTCAATTGAATAGCAAAAAAAAAAAGGAGAGAATTGTCAGCAGAAAGTAGAGTGGAATAAAGATTTTGAAGTGTATAGATCTCTTGGTAAACTGTCTCCAATAATAGCAAATGTTAAATAACATTAGGGTGATCGTTTTCGTTTACATCCTTTGAGAGTGTACTTGTGAACGAGATTCTTAGATTCTTTAGTCCTGATCGTTATGTCCATAGCTAACGTGCATTTATCATTTTCCTGTGTTCTTGCATCGCACTTGCACTCTACCGTGTAAAAGTTACTAACATCTCCGACACATCCATGCGGGAATATCTGGTGATAACAAAATAACATTCGTCACTTGCTTAAGTCCCGCTTTTAGAAAAGCGCCGAGAAAAATTATACACAATAGAGGAAGAATCGAACCTTTGCCCAGTTCAATGATTGGATTTTATCTGTGAGCTAAGATTTTTCCAGATCTCTGATAAGACAATTTATAACTGTAATGTGATATCATGCTTTTTCCATACTTCTTTGTCTTGATAACGGTTAAAGTCGTACTGCAATTATACATAACATATAATATCTAATGCTTACATATATCAACATATTCAAACACTGCACATGATTACATAAAGACATTTAATTATAGAATATACGCTTTTAGTAGATGTCCTACGATATAATTAATTGCACAAGAGAATCGATTTCACACTTTCGTTTGCTGCATTATTTGAAATACATTAATCTATATTTGCATAGCTTGGAACATGTTTTAAGGTGATGTCTCGTAAGGTTGTGGGAGGCTGCACGCTTAAATGTGACAATTCTATAACCGATAAGTGCCAAGATTTAATAAGTACTAGCACTCTCAAGTCTAAGGCCGAGAAATCTAAGAACAACAAATCGCTAGCTTTCGAGAACGAGAATGAGAATGCGAAACGTTCCAAATGCCAAGCTAGAAACACGAAAACCAATAATAAAGAAGTTGTAGACGTGTGTAATATGCAAAACAAGCAAAATATAATGGCGAGTGAGAAATTCGATAACGCGAAAGAGAAGGAGAGCGTTTCTGCAAACGGGAAGGCCAAAAAATATAACGCGAAGGAGGCTAAGGAGAAAAAGAATAAAGAAGATACTAAAAACAAGAACAGAGCAAGCGGAGGAAATGATATGGGCGGAAATAAAGAAATTTCAATGCCATTCGCGAGGAATAAAGAACAATTGCCCGAGCAGGTATACGTTCCGATATAAACCTGTGGATCTTCGCTCAATGTGTATCGATGCATTTGTGCTTATACGATTTTATATGTTTATTTTATATTTTATTCTTATTTTATATTTTTTCGTATTATTTTAGAAAATCACGCTTACTATATTTTCGAACCGAAAGAATGGCATTTGTTTCTTTGTTCCATTTTAGCTGGCACTGAGGATCTTATATTGCACGCTATTATTAATGCACAATTAATATTTAGATTTATATGCAATTTATAGTACATAATTTAGTTGTATTTTTACGAATCACCGGATAATATTCCTGGATGTTAATTTATAAGTGTGATACTGTGCACGGATGATCACTACATTGTGTGTAAAGTATGTCTCTAGTAATTTTTGTTTCCTTGTGTTTGCAGACAATACTTAGGATTCTTGCATGCAACAGGAAGTTTATTGGCATGTTTCTAAAATACATGTGATAACGAGATTGTATTTATTTTTGTCGTCCTATATTGGCTTATTGGTTTCTGTAGTACACTACTGTATCTGTATATTAAAAAATGTATTGTTCTTGATACTTCTGCTATAATATCCGTAATGTCTATCTCCACATAAGATAGCTTAATAAGCTCCTTGCACCAGAAATCGTATACTAAAGCACAATTAACATTGTTAAATCTCTAATTTATATTTTGTGTTAAAGCAGATGTAATTATTTTGGTGAGATTATCATGCAAAAATATTCTCTTGCAAAATATAGAAGCATTATTATTATATTATTTGCTTATGTACATACCGAATGCAGGGTATCCCATTTTTTTCTTGACAAATAATTCCTCTATATTAATAATTATTCTATGTACAAAAATACGTAAAAATAAGATGATCAAGAAATTAATATACACGATATATTTCACATCTTGTACTGAAAAATGTCAGGATAAAACATTTCTGAAAGTATCCACTTGTTAATGTTCAGTACGCAGAATAAATTTATATATATAATGTTATTTAAAAAACTAAAAATGGTCTTGACGTGATCTTAAATGGATACTAAAGTGGATAACAAATTCCAAAACTGTCGACAACATAGAGATGTTATGTTAGATAAGCACTAACACGATCACGCCATTCTTTTCTTTTTCATATACTTCATAATGTGGAAAATATTAGCTAGAAATTAAAAATTCGTTGTTTTCGAAGAATGGTTTCAACTTTTAAATATTGAACACATAAGCATATAAGAAATATGGGTCTAATATTTTTGGCTGCTTTATAATATATCCAAAGCCCATCAAAATCAATGAAGGACGATTCCTTTGTTATTTTACGAAATATTCAAGTGTGTTGAGCAAAATGGCATACCTTGTATATATATCTGGAGATTTTTAATTTATATTTTACATTTTATTTTATATATTTTATTAATATTAATGCAAATCTCAAAGTGGAGATAGGACACGAAGATATTTTAAATAATCAATCTGGTGTGAGCTTATCTTTAATATCGGTGGATACAGGGAACTCAACAGTCCAATTCCGCAATCTTACCTACTGTTGTTGGAAGTTTGGCCAGCGAGGTCGCCAAGGCTCGTCAGCATATTAAACAGTCTTTACAGTGTGTGAGTACTGCACTCATTGCTCACTCCTTATATAATTTTCACACACGCTTACTAATTTAATGTTTGGTACAAACTCATATTTCCGCATCGGTTCTTCCACATTCTAGTACATGAAACTGATCTTATAGATTGAATGAAGAAAGTTTCCGCATTTTTTGATAAATATTTAACAACGTTAAAATATCATGTCTTGTGTACTTGTCAATACAGATGTGTAGGCTGGGGAATTTAAATTGTTACAAACTGATCATTCTGAAACCCTTTAAAATAATGACTTTGATCTTTTTGTTAAATAAATGGCACGAGAAGAAATATCATCATCGTCAACATTTTCTTCAAGATTCATAGATCATCGATGTTTCTTTAAATAAAACTAAATATTTTTATTAATGTGATATTGTAGCAGCCTACATCAAGATAAATTCAACAGTATATAATGAAACATTGAGTTGACTTTATAATGAAAAAATTATTTAAATTAATTTTGTCTTCTGTAAAGATGTAAGTAGATTTAATGACTAAAGGTCTGTTTTATATATATAAACACATATACTTTGAGTAATAACGTTATTTCACTTGTATACTTACAAATATAAAAAAGATCTTGAATTAATACGGTAATGTGCAAAAATTTTCAGCCAGACAAATTTTTTGTCATATCTTTTGAAAGTAAAGTATAGAGAAGTGTAATTAATATAAATCATGTATATACTATATTAAGGCACATAAGTTTGTATATTACAGCCATTTTTACTTATTAATAATAACAAGATAACATATATTTCGAACAATAGTTTAATCCCACAGCAATAAAATAATTCATCTTTTGAGGTAATCCATTCATCAACCAATCCATTTTCACACTTCCTCAGCATTTCGAAACCATGTATCAGATAGATCATGCTGCATCAATTTAAATACATGAAAATCAGATGGGGCAATGTTTAGAGAGTATGTAGACAATGATGGCAGGCTTCCCAATTTAACTCGAATAATATTTCTTTAGTCGCAATAACAACATGCGATCTAGCTAGTTATATAACGCAGAATGACTTTGTATCGAATTGCAGCTAGTTGAGGGGGGGGGGGCATTTTTCCTTCATGGCGTGGTTCAGATATTATAATTGTTGATTGTATCGGTTTCCTGTGGCTGTTTATTTTCGTGATAATAATTCATAGTAAAACACTCCTTAGTCCCACCAGATATATGGGAAAATCTTATGAATGTTATGTTTTCTTGTGAATGTCGGTAATTATCTAGAATCAATCCATGACTTGTGTTTAGAATTGTCAAAATAAATTTTCATTTCTTATCATCTGAAAATATTTGCTACGAGGCTCTTTTTCTTGTGCACTTGCAAGCAATAAGAGACAAGTAGTAAGCCAATTCGCGATCGCGCAGAGAATTCGTAGGGAAGTTATTTTCTGGATTTTCCCATTACTTACTTACATTACTTACTTTCAAATGGCGGAATACTGTTGATTCATTAACTCCAAGCTCATCTACCACATTGCATTTGATCATTCAACATTTTTTTTTTATCAATGGCTCTCAAAACTCTACGTGATTGTTTGTAAGATGGTAGACTTTTGAGTTCAGTTTGTCCTAATTTACATGTTATACACGAGTGTTTTCCATCTATAAACATCCTATATAATAAGATAATACTTTTTTCAGATGGACGATGTTATAGCGCTCACTGATATGTCACATCAAGACGTTACACCACGTATAGAAAGTCTTGAAAAACATAATAAAGATCTACAGGACGGTACGTATATCACATTAATTATCGCGACTACTGTATATGTAAACATTTTAAGATATTACCGATAATAATCATGAAAAATGTAAATAATAATTTAACATTCTATACATTATTCATTCTTTTTCCTTTTACAAATAATTTTTGCACGTGTATATATCATATATCATAAGTAAACAAAGCATTGGGATGGAGAAGTAATAGTGTTACTCTTATAAATTATTATATTTCTTGTCAATGACAACTTGATAACGTTATCTTTTTACGTTAATTACAATTGCGCTATTGTATCTTTGGGTAATATACATGTATATAGCAATGTATATGATAGTTTTATATGGTCACATCGCACGTATAGAACACACTAAAATGTTTCTAAATAGTCGTTCAAGATTTGGAAGCTGTACTGGATAAATTGGAGAAACGCGTGACAAGTCTCGAACAGCGCATCCCTTACTTAGCGATTTGTCCCGCGAAACCCGCAAGCGTCGAAGAAAAAGCGCCGGAGAAAGACGAGGATAACGAAGATGTTGATTTGTTTGGTTCAGATTCAGAGGCAAGTGCAGAGCAGAGATAGAAGAAACAGTGTCGATTGGTTTTCTTATATACCGCGCAGATACTTAAGTTCAACTTCGCATGATGCACAAGAACCGAACACTTGATACACATTGACATAAATTAATGAGTGTCAGGATGCGCGAATTTACATACTTACATATAAAATTGTGTAATTTTTATAATTTGGCATACACCAGATATTCCCATGATACTGATTCATCCGTTGCAACATTTAGTAAAACTTTCATAAATCTAGCATATACGGCATCCCTTCACGAATTACCAATTCGTCCGTGTTAGTTAATCTTGATGCTTTTGATGAAAAGTTTTATTATATTCGACCTGATAGGGAGATGATGCAGAGGCTGCTAAGATTAGGGAAGAACGACTCGCCGCATACGCTGCCAAAAAGTCTAAAAGTACGTAGTGCAAGTACGATATTACATAATAGTTGATAAATTTTTAAGATATATTATCACTGATCGATTGTTATTTTGTAGAACCAGCATTAATAGCTAAATCAAACATCATCCTTGATGTGAAACCGTGGGACGACGAAACAGACATGAAGGAAATGGAAAATGAAGTGCGAAAAATCGAGACTGACGGTTTGCTTTGGGGTGCATGTAAGTTCTTGTAATTATCTCTTGAGGCTCCTGAATGTTCGCTACGAAACCATCAGATAGTGAAGTCAGTTGCGAGAAATGACATGCTGTAAATTCTTGCGTGCCTTTTTCAGATAAAAAGATATTTATACGAAAGAATACTTTAGGTCGCTAGAACATATTCGTAAAAGCACGTACTATGTTTCTCCCTTGAGTCAATCCAACAATCATAAAATGATTATAATATGAGGTTTAGTCATACGCATGCGCAAAATCTATATGATCAACTTCACTACAATCATTTTATGACTATTGATTGACTGTAGAGACGCATTTACTCGCTTCTGACGTCATCGATCAAGAGTTCCGCGGCAACCAGGAACTTTAACGCTTCGGATATTTGCAAATAATACGTTGATACATATTCCTTTCCCGCAGCTAAACTCGTACCACTCGCCTTCGGAATTCACAAGCTACAGATATCGTGCGTCGTAGAAGATGACAAAGTATCGGTTGACTGGTTGACAGAGAAGATACAAGAAATAGAAGATTACGTGCAAAGCGTTGATATCGCAGCTTTCAACAAAGTGTAAACGAATTAAATGAGCTAGAAAATACGTGGCAGCGTAGTCGGAAATAACAATTCGTGTGCCATTTTTGCATTCCATTAGCGAATACCTGTAATGGTAAGTTACATATGCGCATTTTGTTCTCATTCAGAATCGAAAAATAAAAATACTTAAAGATTATTCAATAAATTTGGAATATGCAAAAATGTTATCTCAAATCTTTATATGTTTTAAAAATATAATTTAATTTGTTTCTTTTATTTATATATATATATATATATATATTCTTCATTACATTATACCAGACTATAGATAAAAATAAAATTAACTGATTTAATTTTGTCTCGTCCAGTTCTACTGATTATAATCATTTATTAATTTATTTTGAGTAAAATAAAAACTAGAAAGGAGAAACTATATTACACATATACACGCAAATTGCTTAAGTACTTTTTCAAAAATACTTTTAATAAGTCATATTAAAACAAATTAATCAAGACTAACGATGAAGAAACAAATCTGCATATATATTGGGTTGGAATAAAAAACAATATCGTATTTTTAGCTCAAAATTGGAGAAAGTTTATTTACATTTAGAAACAAACTTCAAACAATAATGTAACGGCGTTATTTTCTATAATCTTCCGGGCAGCTGTACAATTTTTCGCGCGTTAGTGAAGAGCTGCTGAAAGTAGTTTTTGTGGTCTTTCAAAGAAGTAAATGTTTTACCATTAAGGAAGTTTTGCAAAGATCAGAATAAGTATACGAATAAGTAATATGAAGGAGCAATGTCTAATGAATATGTTGAATGCGGTAGAACATCCCAGTCGAGTTGCAATGGTTTCCATATTGTACTCTCAGATGTATATCAAATATTTTCGTCCATTTTGTAACTTCTTCAATAATAAAAAGTTCTGTAAGAAATAAGATCGAAATCCAAAAAAGAATTTATTGTAAGTATATTAGAACACGTAATAAATAACAAGTGTTGCATTAAAATTCGTTTCCAGAATTTATAAATTATATAATTTATAAATATATAATATGAAATATATAATTTATTGAAGTTTCTATTGTAATATTTCCGTATACGCCAAGTTCTTTTTGGATATCAATTTTACTTTCGAATATATCATATAAAATTTATTCACTGAATTGTATTTCTATTGAAGTTCCTAGTTCCATATTGTAGTATTCTTGATTGGTGATGTAGGGTAGATTATATGACATTAATTAAAACATATATTGAAGAAAAAGATATATCTACATAAAGTAATACTTACGTTTGAGTGTAAATGTGTAAAATAGTCTAAAAATACAATTTTTCTTAATTTATCTATAAATAACCATGAATTTAATGTGATGTAACACATATAAGTGTAATATGACGTAGAATATGAGATAGAAAAATGAGTTATATTTTACATGTATATTGTAAGAATGTTCGTCATATACTGCAATGTGAAGACAAGAGTTTTAAAAATATTAATTTTAATCAAATATGATGGGACAAGCCACTTACATATTTTTCTAAAAGATAATATTTAATTCAAATAAGTATGCAAAATATTTAATTGAAATAAGTATGCAAAATAAACCTTATATCTTAAAAAAGGTCTTAAGTTGTGCTACTAAATAATTGTAAAAAGTTCAGAGAATTTATGATGAATCAATTGTAATGATAATTACATTAAAAACTTTAAAAATAATTATAATTTAATTTCAACTTAACTTAAAAAATAACTTCAAAATTAATTATAAAGGATAAAAAATTTAATTTTTTCACTATATAATTGTTTAATATTTAAAAAAAATATTACTATACAAACTGAATTTATTATTTCAAATATTAATATACCTATTAACTTATAAAATTAACTTTGAAATATCAAGTAATATATAGATGTGTGTATATTATATGGAATATAATTTATAATATATTAGTAATTAATAATTATCAAAGTATATTCCATATCTATATTTTGCATACTAACTAAAAACACTAAAATGATTAAAAAATGAGATAAACTATTTGTAAATAGCTTTGTTCAACTGAGATGTTCGTAATACAATAAGATTTTTCCCTGATAATTTAAATTTGTCAAATTCTTTCTCAATAGCTAAAGCATCATCTATATTAATAAAATAAACAAGACAATATCGTATGTCAGTTTTTAAAATAGTCTTTACAAATGTTGCTGAAACTGGGCTACATTTTTCAAATAAATGCAGAATATAATGTACACCATAATCCGCGTGAATGTTAGCAACTATCACTTCTTGCATTGTAATTACATATTTAGATTTAGTCGAAGTATTCTCGCTCCAAACTGGCTCTAATGAATGATTAAACTTTGTATCTGATATGTTTGGCTTTACTTCAGGATCAGAAACTAATGATGGAATTTTGCTATTATCAAATGTATCTTTATATATATCAATATTTGTTTCAGGTTTTGATGGCTCATAAGATTTGGTCTTTTTGTGCTTTGTTACTTGATTACCATAAGGTTCCTTATAGTTTTGTTGTTTTGAACATTGCAAATATTTATCATTCAATATTGATACAATAAGTGTACCAGGTTTAACTGCATTCACATTATAGTCATTGTTTGGTTTTGGAGAACTATCATTTGAAAAGTTGCCAGCATAGTCAGATTTATTACTGCAATTAGAATTACTTCTATTGCAAATTGGCTTCTCCTCACATGCAAATATTTTATAATTGCTGGTGAAATTCGAATATGGTTTGTCATTGTTACTAGATAGCTTTGGTGATAAATTCTTTGGTGAATCCATTCTTCTTGCTTGCCATTCATTTGAATTATTCTGAACGTTTTGCTTGTTGATTTTATTCTTCTGTGGTAATATCCGTATATCATCACTTTTTTCTAAATTTTCCAAAGAACTTAAGACTTCCTTCAATGTTTGATATCTTACGAATATAAGTCCATTAATATCTCCCTTCCAATATACACTTAAAATATTCCCATAAAGTGAAAATATTTCACGTATTTTTTCTTCACTTAATCCTTTCTTATTTGGGAAATGTATACAATATGTACCATCTGGCATTAATTTGTAATATTTTTCATAATCCATTGTTTTCAAGATTACTGGCAATTGCAAATTTTCCTTTGAAATTTCTCTTTGAATTTAAACCAAAGATATATTGTTGCAATCTAGTAAAAATTATAATTTAACAACAAATACCGCATATAAAGAAAAGTATACAGCAAGCACCTATGTATTTAGATAATTTTTGGTTGCTTTTTAAGATTTTATAATCTTATAAAATATTGAGGTTATGTATGTAGTATTTATACCTAAAAATAATCCAATAAAATTTAATACCAAGTAACTTCTTGTAATATAACGTATAAATATATTATCTTACCTCATGCGGATGATAAATATTGTTCTTTATATTTTAGACCGAGATTAGCTTTCGCATCACGATCTACTCTACTCTTCAGGTTAGAGTATAACTTCTAAATTTCAGCGAACATTGCTTCTATACTCTCAAGGAAGAACAATGGAGCAATATTGGTGAGGTCAGTGCTACGAGATCCAGAGAATTTCCAGGCATGCGCATTGAGCAAACGCTGTGGGAGTCTCAGTACCGTATTAATTTAAAGGTATTTTAACGATATGGTGATGATACTATGGATTGAAAATTGCAATCGGGTAAATCAGGTAATCTAAATCTTGGTTATTTAAGTTGGCCCACTTGTAATTTTCAATCTATAGTCTAATACGGCCGTAAGATCCCTCGTCTTAAAGAAAATATGAAGGAATTGTAGGGAGAATAAAAAGTATTATCCATGGATCCTTTGTCATGCACTTTAAACTGTCAGTGGGTTTTGACAGTTATGTAGCTCTACGTCGTTTCAGGCACGCGCTGTAACGTGGGAAATTCTCTGAATCTCACAGCACTGGGTGAGGTTTTTCCACAGACGTTTATAGTACAACTAGACTGCTAACTCCGACTCAATACATGACTCCGAAAAATATAACACCGTCTGGTGACCCGACATTCACGTCTGATTGGTTGAATCAAAAGATATTTTTTCTACTAGGAATTGAGAGTCGAGCTTTATGGTAAGAATAGGGTTGATATAGGACTATATTGTGGTAAAAGCGCGTCCCTGTATCTTGGGAGATACAGGAGTTTAGGAGATAACGAATGTTACATTTTTAACTTTTAAAAATATTAATTTTAATCAAATATAATGGGACAAGCTACTTATATATATATTTTTTTAGAAGATAATATTTAATTGAAATAAGTATGCAAAACAAATCCTATATCTTAAAAGTCTTAAGTTGTGTTACTAAATAATTGTTTGTTAAAAGTTCAAAGAATTTATGATGAATCTATTGTACTGATAATTACATTAAAACTTTAAAATAATTAAAGTTATTAAATTTAAAAACTTCAAAATAATTATAATTTAAACTTAATTTAAAAATTAACTTCAAATTAATTATAAAGGATAAAAATTAAATGTTTTCATTATATGTATATTGCTAAAAAAAAGTACTATATAAACTGAATTTATTATTTCAAATATTAATATACCTATTAACTTATAGAATTAACTGTGAAATATGAAGTAATATATAGATTTATGTATATTATATGGAATATAATTATAATATGTTAGTAATTAATAATTACCAATGTATATCCCATATCTATATTTTGTATATTAACTAAAAGCACTAAAATGATTAAAAAATGAAATAACTATTTGCAAATAGCTTTATTCAATTGAGATGTTCGCAATACAATAAGATTTTTTCCAGACAATTCATATTTGTCAAATTTTTTCTCAATAGCTAAAGCATCATCTATATTAATAAAATAAACAAGACAATATCGTATGTCAGTTTTTAAAATAGTCTTTACAAATGTTGCTGAAACTGGGCTACATTTTTCAAATAAATGCAGAACATAATGTACACCATAATCCGCGTGAATATTAGCAACTATGACTTCTTGCATTACATATTTAGATTTGGTCAAAGTGTTCTCATTCCAAACTAGCCCTAATGAATGATCAAACTTTGTATCTGATATGTTTGGCTTTACTTCTGGATCAGAAACTAATGATGGAATTCTGCTATTATCAAATGTATCTTTATATACATCAGCATTTGTTTCAGGTTTTGATGGCTCATAAGATTTGGTCTTTTTGTGCTTTGTTACTTGATTATCATAAGGTTCCTTATAGTTCTGTTGTTTTGAACATTGCAAATATTTATCATTTAATATCGATACAGTAAGTGTACCAGGTTTAACTGCATTCACATTATACACACTATTTAGTTTTGGAGAACTATCATTTGAAATGTTGCTAGCATAGTCAGGTTTGTTACTGCAATTAGAATTACTTCTATTGCAAATTGGCTTCTCCTCACATGCAAATGTTTTATAATTGCTGGTGAAATTCGAATATAGTTTGTTCCTATGTATGTTGTCATTGTTACTAGATAGCTTTGGTGATAAATTCTTTGGTGAATCCATTCTTCTTGCTTGCCATTCATTTGAATTATTCTGAATGTTTTGCTTGTTGATTTTATTCTTCTGTGGTAATATCCGTATATCATCACTTTCTTCTAAATTTTGCAAAGAACTTAAGACTTCCTTCAATGTTTGATATCTTATGAATATAAGTCCATTAATATCTCCCCTCCAATATACACTTAAAATATTCCCATAAAGTGAAAATATTTCACGTATTTTTTCTTCACTGAATCCTTTCTTATTTGGGAAATGTATACAATATGTACCATCTGGCATTAATTTGTAATATTTTTCATAATCCATTGTTTTCAAGATTACTGGCAATTGCAAATTTTCCTTTGAAATTTTTCTTTGAACTTAAACCAAAGATATATTGTTGCAATCTAGTAAAAATTATAATTTAACAACAAATATCGCATATAAAGAAAAGTATACAGCAAGCACCTATGTATTTAGATAATTTTTGGTTGCTTTTTAAGATTTTGTAATCTTATAAAATATTGAGGTTATGTATGTAGTATTTATACCTAAAAATAATCCAATAAAATTTAATACCAAGTAACTTCTTGTAATATAACGTATAAATATATTATCTTACCTCATGCGGATGATAAATATTGTTCTTTATATTTTAGATCGAGATTAGCTTTCGCATCACGATCTACAGTACTCTTCAGGTTAGAGTATAACTTCTAAATTTCAGCGAACATTGCTTCTATACTCTCAAGGAAGAACAATGGAGCAATATTGGTGAGGTCAGTGCTACGAGATCCAGAGAATTTCCAGGCATGCGCATTGAGCAAACGCTGTGGGAGTCTCAGTACCGTATTAATTTAAAGGTATTTTAACGATATGGTGATGATACTATGGATTGAAAATTGCAATCGGGTAAATCAGGTAATCTAAATCTTGGTTATTTAAGTTGGCCCACTTGTAATTTTCAATCTATAGTCTAATACGGCCGTAAGATCCCTCGTCTTAAAGAAAATATGAAGGAATTGTAGGGAGAATAAAAAGTATTATCCATGGATCCTTTGTCATGCACTTTAAACTGTCAGTGGGTTTTGACAGTTATGTAGCTCTACGTCGTTTCAGGCACGCGCTGTAACGTGGGAAATTCTCTGAATCTCACAGCACTGGGTGAGGTTTTTCCACAGACGTTTATAGTACAACTAGACTGCTAACTCCGACTCAATACATGACTCCGAAAAATATAACACCGTCTGGTGACCCGACATTCACGTCTGATTGGTTGAATCAAAAGATATTTTTTCTACTAGGAATTGAGAGTCGAGCTTTATGGTAAGAATAGGGTTGATATAGGACTATATTGTGGTAAAAGCGCGTCCCTGTATCTTGGGAGATACAGGAGTTTAGGAGATAACGAATGTTACATTTTTAACTTTTAAAAATATTAATTTTAATCAAATATAATGGGACAAGCTACTTATATATATATATTTTTAGAAGATAATATTTAATTGAAATAAGTATGCAAAACAAATCCTATATCTTAAAAGTCTTAAGTTGTGTTACTAAATAATTGTTTGTTAAAAGTTCAGAGAATTTATGATGAATCTATTGTACTGATAATTACATTAAAACTTTAAAATAATTAAAGTTATTAAATTTAAAAACTTCAAAATAATTATAATTTAAACTTAATTTAAAAATTAACTTCAAATTAATTATAAAGGATAAAAATTAAATGTTTTCATTATATGTATGTTGCTAAAAAAAAGTACTATATAAACTGAATTTATTATTTCAAATATTAATATACCTATTAACTTATAGAATTAACTGTGAAATATGAAGTAATATATAGATTTATGTATATTATATGGAATATAATTATAATATGTTAGTAATTAATAATTACCAATGTATATCCCATATCTATATTTTGTATATTAACTAAAAGCACTAAAATGATTAAAAAATGAAATAACTATTTGCAAATAGCTTTATTCAATTGAGATGTTCGCAATACAATAAGATTTTTTCCAGACAATTCATATTTGTCAAATTTTTTCTCAATAGCTAAAGCATCATCTATATTAATAAAATAAACAAGACAATATCGTATGTCAGTTTTTAAAATAGTCTTTACAAATGTTGCTGAAACTGGGCTATGTTTTTCAAATAAATGCAGAATATAATGTACACCATAATCCGCGTGAATATTAGCAACTATGACTTCTTGCATTACATATTTAGATTTGGTCGAAGTGTTCTCGCTCCAAACTAGCCCTAATGAATGATCAAACTTTGTATCTGATATGTTTGGCTTTACTTCTGGATCAGAAACTAATGATGGAATTCTGCTATTATCAAATGTATCTTTATATACATCAGTATTTGTTTCAGGTTTTGATGGCTCATAAGATTTGGTCTTTTTGTGCTTTGTTACTTGATTATCATAAGGTTCCTTATAGTTCTGTTGTTTTGAACATTGCAAATATTTATCATTTAATATCGATACAGTAAGTGTATCAGGTTTAACTGCATTCACATTATACACACTATTTAGTTTTGGAGAACTATCATTTGAAATGTTGCTAGCATAGTCAGGTTTGTTACTGCAATTAGAATTACTTCTATTGCAAATTGGCTTCTCCTCACATGCAAATGTTTTATAATTGCTGGTGAAATTCGAATATAGTTTGTTCCTATGTATGTTGTCATTGTTACTAGATAGCTTTGGTGATAAATTCTTTGGTGAATCCATTCTTCTTGCTTGCCATTCATTTGAATTATTCTCAACGTTTTGCTTGTTGATTTTATTCTTCTGTGGTAATATCTGTATTTCATCACTTTTTTCTAAATTTTCCAAAGAACTTAAGACTTCCTTCAATGTTTGATATCTTATGAATATAAGTCCATTAATATCTCCCCTCCAATATACACTTAAAATATTCCCATAAAGTGAAAATATTTCACGTATTTTTTCTTCACTGAATCCTTTCTTATTTGGGAAATGTATACAATATGTACCATCTGGCATTAATTTGTAATATTTTTCATAATCCATTGTTTTCAAGATTACTGGCAATTGCAAATTTTCCTTTGAAATTTTTCTTTGAACTTAAACCAAAGATATATTGTTGCAATCTAGTAAAAATTATAATTTAACAACAAATACCGCATATAAAGAAAAGTATACAGCAAGCACCTATGTATTTAGATAATTTTTGGTTGCTTTTTAAGATTTTGTAATCTTATAAAATATTGAGGTTATGTATGTAGTATTTATACCTAAAAATAATCCAATAAAATTTAATACCAAGTAACTTCTTGTAATATAACGTATAAATATATTATCTTACCTCATGCGGATGATAAATATTGTTCTTTATATTTTAGACCGAGATTAGCTTTCGCATCACGATCTACTCTACTCTTCAGGTTAGAGTATAACTTCTAAATTTCAGCGAACATTGCTTCTATACTCTCAAGGAAGAACAATGGAGCAATATTGGTGAGGTCAGTGCTACGAGATCCAGAGAATTTCCAGGCATGCGCATTGAGCAAACGCTGTGGGAGTCTCAGTACCGTATTCTAATATTATAATCTAAATTTTGGTCATTTAAGTTGGTCCATTTGTAATTTTCAATCTATAAGGCCAGACCACAGACTTCTGCATAACGTATAATATACAACGTATAAGAGAATCAACCAATCAGAGTTCTTCATTTCCCTCCTCAGGACAGAAAGTAAGAACTCTGATTTGTTGATTCTCTTATGTGTTGTGTATTATGCATTAAGCGGAAGTCTGTGCTCTGGACCAAAGTCTAATACGGACGTAAGATCTCTCGTCTGAAAGAGAATATGAAGGAATTGTAGAGAGAATAAAAAGTATCCTACGTGATCCTCTGTCATGCGCTTTAAACCGTCAGTGGGTTTTGACATATATGTAGCTCTACGTCATTTCAGGCACGCGCTGTAGCGTGGGAAATTCTCTGGATCTCCCAGCACTGGGTGAGGTTTTTCCACAGACGTTTATAGTATAACTAGACTGGTAACTCCGTCTCAATACATGAGTCCGAAAAATATAACACCGTTCTGGTGATCCGACATTTACGTCTGATTGGTTGAATCAAAAGACATTTCTTCTGCTGGGAATTGAGAGCCGAGCTTAGAGATATCAGAGGTTACATTTTAATTTTTAATGTTCATATCTCCGTTTCTACTGGGAATTGAGATTTATGTTGAGAATAGGGTTAATATAGGACTATATTGTGGCAAGAGCGCGTTCCTGTATCTTGAGCCGTTTAGGAGACAAAGGCCCGTTCCTGTATCTTTAACCGTTTAGGAGATATAGAAGGTTAAAATTTTTAACTTGTGTTATTAATTTCTCCGTTTCTACTAGGAATTGGGAGTCGAGCTTTATGGGGAGAGTAGGGTTGATATAGAGTTATATTGTGGCAAAAGCGCGTTCCTGTATCTTGAGCTGGTTAGGAGATCTCGAAGGTTAATTTCTCCATACTTATCCGCAGAAATGATTGTAATATGGATTAAACAGCCGCGGGAGCAGCTGCGGAAAGAAAATCCATGCGATTTTTACGACTTCACCGGCAGCAGGCTTTGATTTTTTCTTGTCTTTATCACCGATGAAAGAAACGCGCATTTTGAACAGCGATCATAAAATACACGACTACTTTGTCACGTTTATGTCAGCAACGTCCGCTTCCATCTCCCACTCTCGATAGAGTCTCAACGCACGATCAAGCGCGAGTTATGAAGTTTCAGTTTCCGCGCAGAAACTAGTCGGGGACGTTCGCAGCCGCGGTGGAATTTAACGCTCACGTTCCTGAGAGTCTAACAGTCTACTCGCGAAGGGGCGCCATTGCCCCTCTTTTCACAACGGTGCGGATGTTTGATTCCTATCTTCCTTTTTCTCCGCGATACCGCGACGAGGCGCTAATGAGGCAAGTTCGCTTATAACCAGCGCTTATGTCAAGAGCGCTTCATTATGTCAGAGGCGGAGCAGTAGCTCTCATCTTTCTCGAGTCGGGATGCGTTCCGAAAGTCATTAAAAAAAAAGTGACAACCTTTATGTCCGCGACCGTAAATCCGTGCACATGAACTAACGACCGAGTGTCCACGGTTCTTTACTGATTTTCCTTAAGGCCCATCTACAATGGCTGCAAGAATAAGGTTATAAGCGTAAGCAGTAAGAAATGGACCAACCACAATCGATTATTATAAGAATAATCGATTGTGGTTGGTCTATTTCTTACTGCTTACGCTTAGAACCTTATTCTTGCAACCATTGTAAATGGGCCTTAATAGTCTAGAAATTTTCTACCTGACAACCAATCGGAACGTCCGACAAAGGCTGTATTCCAGAATTCACTGCCAGTACTGAAAATACATAGTTTGTGTCACGTATATTATAGATTTTCAGTGCTGGCGGTGAATATTGGAACGCAGCCAAACTTGTCGTACTTATTGCATCAATTTAGCAGTGCAGAAAAGAGCAATATGTAAATTTTATTTGTTTACAACTTTTCATTTACCTGCAATAGCTCTATAAACTTCATGAAAAATATTAACCTATTTTGCTATACTTCTGCATATATTTGACTTTTATTTCTATAGTGTCTTAAACGATGAGACTTTATACTTAGAAACAGGATAGTTCATTATTACATGACATCCACATTTTAATAGTAGATAAGATATATTATACAAATCTAGGAGCAATTGCTAATAATTTAGTGTAATCTGCTCCCTTAGTGTGAGTTTTCTCTTTCAATTTTGTTCTCAGTATATGTGGAATAGGTACATGGATTCGTGTACCTAAAGGTGTTCCATTGTTATCTATAAGGACCAAATTGTTACTGTCAAACTTGGGAACTTTAGAAAGTTGTTTCTGTTTTAGTCCAACCAATATTCCTTTTCTCATTTCGCCTTTTATGGCTACTAAGATTTTATCTCCTGTGTAATTTATATAAATATTGTAATATCAGTTTCTATATAAAAATAATTTTTCATATATATATTTTCTTTTGCCTCACCAATTAATCCAATCCCTTTTTTGTTGTAGACATGTATGCATCGTGGCGGTCTGCCTTCTAGCATAGCTTGCTTTCCTATTTCACTATTATCCACCACTCTCAATCGACTTAGTTTAATTATATGATTTGCAACAGCAGATGTGGAGATGCTCCTGCATGCATTGTTTAATATCACTGGAGGCAGCAACATTGTAATGTCCCAATTTTCCTTTAGAACAGACTGAAATATAATAGAAAACATTTAAATATTTTAACAACGTTATAATAACTGACATAATATAACCTTAAATGTGTGCCTTAAATGTCTTATTCACTAAAGAGGTCATTCACTAAAGCTAAAAATTTTGATAAATATATCTTTGTCCTAGGAAAAACAAATCAGAAAAAGAAGATGTTTTTCCTTGATCTTCCTCAATTACATTACCTTAAAGCAAGGAATTCAAACGATTTTAATCCTGAATAAAACGTTTGAGGTCGCAATAGCGCCTCTATGAAAACAGCTGATAATACTGCAGTAGTTTTACATAACCTCTGTGAAACGTGTGTGAGTTCTGTCTTAGTCTTTAATTTGATGCAATTAAAAAGTTTACGCGAGAACATCAAGTATCACGATACAAAACAGAATTTAATCTGTTATCATGAACAAGATATACCGTCTCGACAGAGTGCTGACATATGTGCGATCTCTCAATAGTCCCAAAGCACATTTGGTATCAGCAAGATGTTTTGGTACAAAAGATGATTCCGGAAGAGACCAAAGCTCGATGTCACCTTCGGAATCTCCCCTTGTTGAAAAAGAAGTGCAAATGGAAACGAAAGATGAAGCGAAAGCATCAGAGACCGAAATAAAACTGGGTGGCTTTGCACAAAGTTACAAGAAATTCTCGCACATTGGAGAAGAAAAAAAACCGGAGATACCACAAACATTCGCTTCCTTGATTCGACACTCCAAGTTTGTCGATGTAAGTATGTAACATTTATAGTGCGTGTGTGCATGTATGCGTGTTTTTTATACAAAACATTTGTTTATTTTACAAATCTATAATGTCAATGTTGTCTCTTTCTAGTTGGGAGATCCTGAAGGAAAATTGGTAATTGGTAAGATATATCATGTGGTTGATAATGACTTGTATATTGACTTTGGATGGAAATTCCCCTGTGTTTGCCGGAGACCTGTTAAAAATGGACAGTATGTGTCTGGATCTTTTTTGTTTTCTCATATAATTTATTTGCATAAGTGCTGTTCTGTTTTCATTATTTTTTAATCTTCTGAGGCATATGTTTTTGCTTTTCCCTTTCTTTTAGATATTATGTAAGAGACTCAAAAGTTCGTCTGAGGATTAAGGATTTGGAGTTATCCTCTAAGTTTCTCGGTGCTACTACAGATATAACTCTACTAGAAGCCAATTGTACTTTGATAGGCTTGATATCGTCACCATTGCAGGTTGCAGAACAGAAAACACAGAGGCCAAAGAAGCGGAATATCATACCTTCTTAATTTAATAATATCTATATTATATGTGAATAAAGTTTATACAATACAAATATATATACAATACGATGATAATATGTATTCATAAATAGTCATCATGCTCCTTGTAAAACCCCAATATTACAATTCCGCTTATATTGATGTGGATTATTTTAAAATTGACATTTTTCTAATTTGCATGAATGTCACGGCTGTCACAATATAGAGAATCTTGTGTTTCTTTCGAATCTTAAAGATAAAAAGATCACTCTTCCTTTGAATTATGCAGACTTTACATGCTGAAACTCTTCATTGCGTTCTAAGAGATTGTGTTACAAGAAAATACATGTGAAAGTATAAAATCTTGAGAAAGTATAAAATCTCAAAAGTGTTCTTATAGATTCTTCAGATATATCTTGATGAAATTTTAACGATACGTCATGATAATTATTTTAGAATAGGATAGGAGAAGATTATCTCGGAATAATATTTAATGAGTCATTCATGATAACACGTCTTTTGTTTATTTCGCCAATTGTGCATCATACTAGAATATTCAACGGCCTCCAAGACATATCTTATCGCGATTATCGTGCAACTCAAACAATTCTTATCGCAATTAATGGACAAATTCAAACAGGAGGCGCGCGCGATTCGAGCGCTGCGACTGGTGGAGTCACATCACATGACGGTCGAAAAATCGCGAGTAGTCGCGACCACAACCACGACTCGAAGTCAGTATTGTCGCTGTTTTCGCGTCGTTTGCGTCTAGTAGGTTATAAGAATACAACGATCAAGATTTTCCTTTCGCTCGTATTCTCTCTCTCTCTCTCTCTCTCTCTCCCTCTCCCTCTTATCTTCCTCTTCGTCTTCGCGTCAAGTATACATATGTGCGAGCGTCATACGAATCGTCGGCGGTCTTCACTCCTGGTGCCACAGGCAGTTTTTCGTGACGTCTGTCAGGAAATCATCGCCTGGTCTGTCGCCTGCTAGACGGACGATAACCTAAACTCTTTGTAGGTGTACGTGATAGTGGCTTTGACTCGCGACGCTCGCACGACACACACACACGCGGTGAGTAACGTCACGCTCCATTTTCCACATTCGTTGCTATTCGCGATTTCGTTAGCGAGACGAGTGTCATATCACTCGCATGGCTATCTCTTTTGCGTCATTCGCTTTCGTGTAATCTACTAAGACCGTATTCGAGATATCACTCGCGCCGACGAGTGCGATGCTCGAGGGAGCGTAGGCGCGAATTTTGTTTCGCGCAAAATTCTCGCGAGAAATTTCGCTGTGACAAAAAGCTTCATTCCGGGTCTGCTTGTCGCGAACGTAATTTGGATTTTATTCGTCGACGGAATGTGAGAATTGACGAATTCTTTATCCAGTTGTTTTTTCGAGCTCCGATAGCTACTGTATTTTTTGTTTTGCTTTTTTTTTTTTTCTCCAAAGATATTCCGTTATTTAGAGGTACTTTTATACATACATGAGCCAAAGTCGGATACCTGATAATGTAATCTTCATTCGAAACTCTAATGCGGAAACTTTTATGAGTGAAAGGAAATCTACCTATGACGAGTTCTTCATCTGGAACGTTCGCGTCTTGCGTCAGTAGAAAACACATTCCGAATTTCTGGAAAGTCCTCCGTTTCTCTAACAACTTGACTTTTACATAATATATTATGTATGAAATTTTTCTTTTTTATAAAAAAGAAAAATCTCTCCGCGCCGCAAATCATTTATATTTGTCATAAAAATCACGTGGTAAACGTCTCGCGAGTAAAATAAAAGGTAGTTTTGAAAGTTTGCCATACTTGACAATTTTATCGGCAAGATATTGCGACTTTTGCTATACTTTTTACTATATCTTTTTCTGCAAAGCTCATACCGCACAGAATTACAAGCGCTTCGATGAAAGCACGTGCAAAGATGAATCGAATTATTGCCGAGTGTACGGAAAAAATGAGAAAAAAAATTTCGAAATTAACATCTCGGGGTGTCAACGTAAATATTTGCCAGGTACGAAAGTTTTGCACTTTGCACGTATCGAATGTGCGGTCGGTCCGTTGAGGAGAATTTCAAAGTACATTGTTTCATCTTTACGATTGAACGTAGACGGCTGAAAATATACGATCGTGTCCATCATCCAACATTTGTCAACGTGATCAATGTTATTTGTGGAGTTTGTCATCCAGTTGGACAATAGGACGCTGATTCGGTTAGGGTGAAAATAAAACATTTGAAAATAAAAAACCTGTGAAACAGACGGAGTCTGGCGTATTATATGTCGCGTTTATTCAATTGCAATGGCGTAAATGCTTGCGCATTTAATATAATCTGCCCCTAAATTAGAGTACTATAATCCTGGCGCAAGGTATTACGCGGCGAGGGCTCTGAGCTTTCTACGTACGATATTGCCGTCGAATATACACCGTGTCTCCGTTACTTAACATCCGCCCAACTTTCTATTCGCGCGATGCTACATAGGCGCGTGTGTTCGTCCGTTATTTACATTGAAATGTTAGTGCAATCCAGTCGTCTGATGTGTCGGTGCTCCGTTCGGGACAATTTTATCGTCCTACACATTCGATGCACGTGCAAACTGCAAAACTTTCATATCTGGCAAATATTTACGTTGACTGACACCCCGAGATGTTAATTCCGACATTTTCTTCCTGTCATTTTTGCCGTATATTCAGCAATAACAATTGTTCAGTCAGTCGTAACGTTGCGACACGTGGAAGTAGCGAATCGCGAAGTTGAGGTAAATGAATTTAAAAAGAAGGAAAACTCTTGAGTACAGCAGTACAATGTGTGTGTGTGTGTTATAACGTAACACTGAACGGAGAATTAGAAAATTATGCTGTCATTATCGATAATTCTCGATTGTGACGGCTCGATTAACGTACCATTCGAGTTCCAGCACGGTTAATGTTTCCAAGCGAAAAGATAACTCGGCTATGAATGTGGCATTCTCGAAAGTGGTTCGACAGGCAGATGTGTTTCAATTTACTTAGAAATTCTGTTCCGGATACTGATTTTATACTTACGCTTAACGAAGACACAGAAATGTCTCATGCGCGCAAGAAAGATAAATATCTGATTATACGGAAAAATCGCAAGTAAAAAGTATCCTTGACACTTGACACTAGTTAATAGTTTTTTGCTAATGAGATCATAATAAATTTGCATACTCGGTTTTGCATATTTACTTTTTTTTTGCGTGATCTTCTCAACGGAAATATAAGATCGAGCAGCATGACAAATAAAATTTATATCATCTGTATTCATTTCCCCGCGATACGATGAGTCGTAATTTTTCTAATCGTCATTGTAATTTTTTTATCGTAAAGCGCGAGCAATTATATTAATTTATACCCGTAATTTTTTAGAGAGAGATTTTCACTTATATACCCGTTTTTATCAATTTTAGTTAACTTAACCGGCTGATTGTTCTAATGGAATAACGACCAATCGCGCACTTATTATTAATTAGAATTAAGACGTGCAATCGAGTTTTACGTCTAAAAAGAAATAAAAAGGCAATCTTCGCACGATAATGCGTATTGGTGTACTTGGATATAACATTACGGTCGTCTGAACCTTTCCCATTTCTTTTCCAGGGGAAAAAATGGAGAAAGGCTTCGTGCAGCCCTCGGCTCCTTTACCCACGGCTCCGCCGTCCTACGAAGAAGCCATAGCTAATACAGGAGGAGCGCCTGTACAACCATCGGCTAATTCGCCGTACTCTGTAGGAGCCACGTCAATGCCGATGCCAATGTCTATGCCGATGCCGATGCCGATGCCGATGTCGATGCCGACGCCCATGCCGATGCCGATGCCATGTACGTGAGATACCTGATACGTAAAGACGATCATGTTGTAACAGATAAGCACAAATGGCCACGTATCCTTTTCGTATTTCTTGTACATATACAGGATGTTGAAGAAAAAGGATTTTCAGGACTTTAATTAAAGCAAATTCTTTAAACAGAATAAAGATTAAGTAACTTACTTCATGTTTTTGTAAAACAGCTTCAATACTCTGTAATCCCAGAACCATTCGGATTCGGAGCAAATATTTTCGAGTTTTTTTTTTTTTTTCCTACAAAAAGTTTTAAGTTCGCTCTTTATTTTTTGTTTCATTTTTTTCGGTATCAACAAAATTTCGTGGGATACACACGGCATTCCACGCAAGAGTATCGACATATTAATACGCAAATTTGCATTGAGAAATCACGTGTGTGATATCTTATGAAAAATCGTGTACACGAGATACACGAGGTGAACGATATATGTATATACGATATGATTTCAGATAATCAGCCGCCGAATCAAACAACGATGCCAACTACATCGACGGTATATCCGGACACGAGTCAATCGGCGTCACAGTCGCATTCCAATCCGGAACCCAGTTCTGTACAATCGGCAGCGGGATTTCATCATCATATAGTGTATGCCTTGGGTCCGAATCCCGTGAAAATGGCCTGTCCTTCATGTATGGCTGATATAAAAACCACCACCATATCGGATCACCAGCCAAGCGCTCACATATGTTGCATTGTGCTCTGTTTACTCGGGTGAATACTGATCCTGCTTCTTCATTGATGCCTATGTTGCATTTGTATACGTTATATTGAAGATGTTGATTAGTCATTCGCATGATTATTATTATGTCAAGATATCTATCAGACACATGTATGTACACACATACACACAGCTATAAAAAGCTGTAAAAAATCGTTGATTCTTTTCTTCTTGTTTTAGATGTTGCCTCTGTTCGTGTCTGCCATATTGTATGAGCGCCTTTATGAGCGTTCATCATTTCTGTCCGAACTGCAAGAGTTACATCGGCACATGGAAGGGTTGATTTCAAGACTACGTACGCATATGCAAGTTTCCGCCTTGCGCATAGTACGATGCTATGTATAATTCTCTAAATGGTTATTTGATATCCTTCGCTTATCGCATACTAAAGGCAGCAGAAGGATAGAATCGATGAAAACGTACGTTTATATTATATTTCGTACGATTCTTCAGTTTTGTGTAAAGATCATATTGCGATACACAAAGGGTAATGAAATTACCGACGATTCTAACTGATTTAGCGCATTGAGCGAGATAATGTGTAAGTCACAGGTGTGAAATATGAAAGTGACAAAAATCCCAAGCACTAATCACAAACTTTCGTATCATATATTAGACTGTTCATATATGCGGAAGTTGTAAAGGAAGGAGTGATGGAGATAAATATTACAGCCACATTTTGCGAAAGAAAATTTTCGTGTATCTTCAAAAGTTTTTCGTGTTTGTATTATCGCCAAAATTAAATTTTTTTTTTTTTAAACTCGTATAGTACTTTTGTAAGAAATGTTAGCTCGCTGTCTAAACGACAATGAGCATCCCACGTTTTTCTAAAATATGATAAAATATTATTTTAAGTTTCATGAATACTATTTGCTGACGGTCTAGTATATTATATAAAAGTTTTATCGCATTCCTTAGGAAGAATCTTAGAATGAGGTGAATAATGATCGTATGTGCGATTCTACTGTGACAGATCTGGACACGTGAAATGTCCGGCACACTTTCGTTGCTCCAGGCTAAAGTAGCTCATGTTTAAAACAAAATTCAACTCGAAGTCGATCAGTCTTGAGATGCGTTTTGCAAACTGTCGTTCCTTTGCACGCATGTAGTTTGACGTGCACTTTTAACAGCTGTATTGCTTCATGGCGAAGGGTTCTTTGACAAGTCCGTTACTTACGACTACTACGGACAAAATAGGGGATGAAGTAAGAAGCGATATGTGAGCAACGAAAGCTACCTGGCCCGTGCCGAAAAATAATGCTCTCGTGTATTCTTATTTTTGTACTACGAAATACGGATTTCGCGAAGAATGAGTGATAGGCTTTACGGAAAGTATAAAGATCCTGAAAAAAAAAAAAACTTTGTATGCAGGAGGGCACACGCGTATACGTGCTTCTCCACGAGCTGAATCGAGTATATAGCGTAGGCATAAATGTATTATTATAAGCAAAATATATTTTTGCGTACGATGCAGAGATTTGCAAACTTCGTTTAGTGTATTAAGGGCGCGTAAGTTATTCTTGATTTATCTAGAAAGTTATTGTTAATCTCTTACGCGGCAAAACCCGCCATATGGCGAGCGAGGTGAACGATATAGGTTTAGGATCATACAATATTGACTACCAATGATATCGGGGTTCTTGAGGCCGCTGATCACGCATCTGAATTCCAAATTCAGAAATTCAAAATGACGGGTGCAATACGGCGGACCGAACCGCAATAAGTTACTTGATTTGGATAAAATTCGGTACTCGGGGATTTTTCAAGAGGTCGCCGATTACGAATCTCAACTCGAAAATTGTAATCAGTGACCAAAGAAATACTGAGTTTCATCGAAATCGAACTATTTTTATTTCTCTGCCGTTTGGGAAACAAACAGTAAAATTTTGTGCTTGTCGCGTAAAGGGTTAATATAATGGTGCATGCGATATCGAAGCGATTACTGATAAGCACTGGGGGCAGCAGAAGAGAGATCATTAAGGAAGATCCGTTTTGCAGTGTTGCTTTGTTAACAGCGCGATTGCAATCCGATCTACTTCCATGTTTAGACTCCGAATCCGATATCGCGAGAGACCGTAGTAGTTTCGGAAAACGTTGATTCTTAGCCGAAACTGATTTACGCTGTTCAAATCTTAATATCTACAGGAAATGTCATTTCGTCGTGCTGAATCGGTGGATTCTTTTGTGCGCAGGTTCTCCAACCCTTTATCTCTTCCTCTCATCATTTGGAAATTCTGACGACTTCTCCCCCTATCTTCCACGATTGATACCTGACATTCCTGGCATACAGTTGGAAAATTTCCTGTTAATCGTCACAACAGATATGCATCTCCATGTTAACTTTCAAGTTTCTCATGTTTTTACACGTTTTCTCCTCAATCTCCTTGTATATCTTTCCCCCAAACAAGGTGCTTCCTATTGTTCACTGAAGCAGTGTCTTCACGACATCCTATATATTTTTCTCTTATTCACCGATTGTTCTTGTATTTAAGAATAATCATTGATATTCTCCATATCTCTCTCCAAAGCACAAACAATATTTTAATAATTGTTTCAGTAGTTGAATTCCACATGAATTGCGAGGATTATGTGTATAATCCTTGCGATTATATATATATGTATAAAAAATGTCGAAACTTTGGAATATTTCGAAGAAAATAGGTTTTATAAAAAAAATTGTTTCAGATAAAAATTATAGAGTTTAAAAAGATTTACTGGCTCTATTAGTTTGATCAGTTGGGTATCAACTAGATCGCTAAGATCAGGCCGCCAAGATCATCTTGAATTTGTTAAATGGTATCCCCTATTTTCTGTCGCATATTCCAATAGCCCGTGCTGAGACGTTTTGAAACCACTTATAATTTTATCTACTTTAGGTCAGCCAAGTGTTATACTGATATTTGCTGAATACAGACTGTTTAGATATTAGAGACTGAGCACTGTACGGGTGGATGAGGAATGCAGGAATGGTTATAAATAAGGATGTAGAAATATAAAAATTGTTAGTAGACGATGTGATGTGATAATAGATCTAGCAAAGAGAAGCTGCTGGGGTTTACGTATTATAGTAAATTGATAAATATTTTGATAAGAGAGCTTTGACTGCAAAGTGATATTGACAGTGATGTTCCCACTTCTTTCACTTTAGGCGAAATTATCGTCGATATCTTACTGTAAAAAGGTCAATAACTTCGAAACAGCTGGCCCAAAGTGGATAAGATTGTAGTGGCTCGAAAAGGTCTCAAAGTAATAAACGCAGTCTATCACAATATGCGAAGATAGAAGGTGTTCTTTAAAAAAATTCAAGTTGACTTGGTGGTATAATCTTGGTGACGCTACCCAAGGTCTGATAAAGCCAGTAAATAAATATTTTTAAACTCCGTAACTTTTCTTTGAAACATGTTTTCATAAAACTTGTGTTTTTCGAGATATTCCGGGCTGCCAACTTTTTTTATGCACCCTATATATGATGATATATTCTTTCTTATATCATGAGATATATCGCGGAGGATATTGTGAAGTATCATGAAAACTAAGTCTACGAGTTTATTATCCGATATATTTTTATCGATTTATATATTAAGACTGCATATATTTTTACAGAGAGATATAGGGTGCGTTCGGGGATATATTGTTAGCGCTACCAACGCAAACGCTGTCAAAACTGTTTGTGAAACCAACAGCGCAGTAGCGTTAGCATTACTGCGTTATAATAAAAACACCGTTTTGCAGTTTAAACACCCCTTCAGTCTTAACATTCGGAAGATTTAAATGCAACTTGCTGCTACGCGCATGAATAATGGTAAACTAATAAATATAATGTAGTGATACGATCATGTGGAGTAACAGATGTGCAGTTCACAGCGTTTTGGACGCTTGTGAAGCTTATAAGCATTTATTGCTAGCAATGCGCTATCTTGGAAGGAATAGCCTTGATAATCCGTTGTTATTAATAACATTGTTATTAATAGCGTTTGTTAGCGCTACTATCTAGCTCCGCGAATAGCCTAATGATGTCTCTCCGAACGTACTCACTCATAGCAAAAACGAACTTATAGGAGCGTGAGGTTCTTTCGTAAGTGTTGTGTAAAAAACATCAGCGATCGTGATATATGCATTTGTCGATCATCAGCTCTCCATTATGAGATCCTCGACATGAGTGAATCGACATGAAAGTTGCGTTTATTTTTATCGTGCATGACATCATTCGATATATCAACTTAGATAGCGGAACAGAAAAGATATCTTACCTGTAAATTGCGCATAAATTCGAGGAGCTTAGAAGGCACAACGGTAGCGTTTCTCGACCCATTTTCATTCTAGTTTCTATCAACCTTTTCTAAACTGTCGTAATGTGTGCAACCTTAGAGTAAATTTTGTTTCTCCCGAGCAGTATTAGGCCAGTATTTAAACTTAGTGTCATGTTAAGGCAGCGCGAGCTATGCTACGTCGATTGAGAAACCCACCACTTTATAGGACACTTGACAAATCCAGAAGTTAGCGTAGAGCTTCGTCTATTTTAGATCTTGTTCTCGCTATCTTCGTATCGATAACTGCCAAAAAGCTCACATATAGTCAACTGATTAGCTGTCAACGACCAATAACGGCGGTGCAGCGTATGAATCGATGCAATTTTACGTTCGTATATCTCGCATTAACACTGAGATGTACGCCGTGTCTTTAAGTGCATATCTTTCGAAATCGCAAGTCTATTCGCCGATTAATACGAATTTTTGCGTTACGCGTATTGCAATATTTCGTTATTCGTTGCGAGGATACGCAGGTTTGTTGAATTTATTGTCTGCTACCAGAGCGTGCCAGAGTATGAACATTTAATTTAGAGAGAGTAATTAAACATATTAGTTGTATCAGTCGTATTAATTAATTAGTAGGGATATTTTTATCTATACTCTATATGTACAATCTATTCCTCACGCGGAAGATTTCCATTGCGGAAAGACGTAGTATTAAAAAGGTAGCCGACTCTTGAAAGCTTGATTGACGTTATCGCATTCGACGTTAACATATTCCTGCCCGTTTGTTTACGTTGTCTGATTATCTTACACCTGTTATTATCTCATAAGTGAAGAAATATGCCATTTCTGAGAAACTTGGTATTAAGTAAGGTATTAAACTAGTCCGCGCGGGGACGTACATCGATCTCCCGTCTGATTTATACGTGACCATTTATGCAATCGATATGCCGTTAGAGTTGAGCATTGTCCGAGTAAATCTTCATTCAAACGACAAAGACCCGAATAAAGTTTTATTCAAATGAGGAATTCGAATAAATCTTTATTCAAGTGGAAAACTCTCGAATACATTTATATTCAAATAAATGTGCGGCTTACGTGGGAAAGAAGATAATGTTTGTCCAACTCTATAGATCGCAAAACTCTCTTGTACATGTCTGACACAATAAAGTATATATTCGGTTAGGTATGCTTTTTCTCTCTTCCTCTCATCGAGACAAGTATGAGGACTGTAACACGCAGAGAACTTTTCTTGAGGACACTTACTTTCGTTACTGACTGATATCTCAGTAGTAAGAAATAATTTTAATTAGGGTTTTAAAGTTACATATAAATTATTATAATTTACAGTTGACTTAGAGAGATTGCTTTGTTATTACATTAGATTTATTTGTGCAACAGTTCTTTTCCGAATGATAACAAGCAATGCAACGCGATCAATATAATTATAATATTTCTCACTATTACTTATCATTACCCAGTACAATGAACATCCCGTCTTACAGTAGTATTATATGTCACATAATAGTTATTACACGAGATGAAATTGTTTCTTATGCTCTGGCAAGTAACAAACAAATCCAAGCCGCAGCGTGTGCAATGTATGAGACATTTTTTATTTTTCTGACATTTTCTTGTGCGTGTAGTAGATTTGTATCCCAAGTTGGGAAGTACATCGGATGACACTATTCGTTTATTGCTGTCGTATAAATTTTGGCTCTGGTGTGAGAGAGTATATCCTAGTGTAGCGCGAAATACAAGTCTAATGAATTATTAACATGCTACATCGCTCAACAAAAATGTTTGTGGGCAAATTTTGGAAATGACTTATTAAGAAATTTTATCTTCTTCGCATCTACAGTATATTGAACAAACCCGAGTATACGTGTGTAATATATACTTAAATGGCAAAATCTGCAAAAGCAGATTTTGCAAAGTGTCTGCTGCAGATTCTGTCTAAAATTTACTCGTCGTAATACAACAGAATTTGATGGTAGAGTGTGATGAAAGATTGACGGCAGAAAACGAGCATCTGTCGGCAGGTTGCTTACTGAGTGTGTATATATAAATTAATTGCTGCTCGAGAAGATATTAATCGGAGCATGAAATGTGTCTAGTCTAATCTATATACAGTGTAGATTTTGGTGTGCAAAAGTATCATCTTTGCATCGCCCACGATATACGAGTAACCAACATTACCAAAAGTTTTATAAACGGTATCTAATCGCAAGTCTTCGTCGTAACACTATGAACATCAAATAGTTGTTACTATCAAATAATGATTTTTCTCCTCTTTTCCTCGTTTCTTTTTCTTTTAGTGCACTCTCGTGCATATACAGCAGTAAGTACAAATACAATTTTCTTTCTTTTGTAGGAGGGCAATTAATAGTGTTGCAATTGTCGCTTACACATACAAGGCAAGCCGGCGAATTGCGTGTCTCGCGGGATTAAATCACATTTCATGGTTTAGGCCAGTTCTCGGAACCGCAAATATAATATTGTAACGTTCAGCTTCAAAGATACCATCAGAGACGTTAGATTACGTATCTAAATATGAACGAACGTCTTTAATTACGAGTCTACAATTAACGATGCACGTGACAAATTGTCGGGTAAACCGCGGTTCCTCGGCGTGACCTGTTGCAACATCGCGAAAACACTCGGAAAAAGACAATTCGCCGCTTTTCTTTATATCGAGTAATTAATATGTTATTAACGAATAGAGATCACATTGTTCTATGAGCCATTTATATGAGAGTGTCCATTAAATCCTGATCGGACGGGGGGAAGTGATGTCGAGCAACGGAGGAGTATTCCATGTCGATCGGCTTGGTGTCGTCATAGAGCGTTGGAGCTTCGCACAGGATTATGAAGGTACCGGCCACGGAAGTTATCGTGAAGAGCCACAGGAAAAGCCGATCGAGGACCATCGCGACAAATCCCCAATCCTGATCCTCCTGCCGTGGCACACAATGAGTAATATAGTAACAAAGTACAAAGTGACGTACCGAGAAGAGAGTATGTGCATGCCGAAATATACGCAGAAAAGTGAAGAAGAATAAATCTCATTCGTCTTGAAGCTTCGAGAACACACGGAGGAACACAACTCGGTCGCGGAATTTTCTGTTATCTCGGTACCAGTCGAAAACTCGGCTCGGAACTGGAAATATTTCCGCAGACTTCCACTCTGTTCTCAATTTGCTCTCTGTTATCTCAACGAAATTTTAGTTACAGTTGTATATTCGAACGAATATCTTCGGTTATGTACGAATAGAGACACCGTGTCCTCATCTCGACGAGTTTTCGTTTGGTTCCTCCCGTTCGGTTGTACGAATTGTTTTTTCGTGCAATAACAAATCAATCTGTTTTGTTATACACAAAGAAAAAATATTGAAGTAAAAATTACTGTAGAATTTCGTAGCCGAGAAATATACTAATATTTTGTCTTAATTTTCATTAACCTTCCACTTCACATGTGCTATTTATATTTCTCGGAACTAGAAGAGAGTCCATTATTAAAACATGTACCATATATATTCCTTAATAAAATAAACTCTTCTGAAATACATTTTTCCATTGAATATCTATCCCTTTCTGTGTTTTGTGTATATCTGCGCTGCAAGAGAGCTTACCGCGTTGAACTGATCTTGGCGTTGAATGTGATGCTGAATAAACATAACGTTATGTAACGCTTTTTCCAATTCGAACGGATACTTCTTTCGTGGCGTTACGTCGCTCAAAGACTCATCCAGGCCGGACATAACCGTTTGAAGCCCATTATACCCCAAACTGCCAACCAGAAATCGATTGTGGGCGGTCGTCCTGTGTAGACCGTTGCAGCCTGAAATGCCAATAACCGTTGCGCGACTATGATCGTTTCGATTCGCAGCGAGATGCGCAAACGTTTTATTACCACGAGTGTTGAAGAGAGATAAGGAATATATTGAGAAAAAAATATGAGAGAAATAAAGAAATATCTGCATATTCGATGGCTACTAATGAGCCATGAGGCTAAATTCTTCTTAAGTAGAACAAAAAAAGATGAATAACTAAATCGCTTTGATGAAGGTAAAAACAAACAAAAAAAATGAAGAGAGGATCGTTATACGAAGAAAAGCGTTATACCGTCGATTCGTTGATGGCGGGCAGAATCCGGCGAGGACACTATCGAGGACGATCGCGCGGCCGCAGCGACCGCCTCGCTGAACTTATCCCGCTTGCTCCACTTGCCCCGTCCGTATATCTTGCGCGCGGCAAGATCATTGAGGAGATCATCGGGCACTCTCATGAGCAGTAGCTTCGGCAACTTTTTGATGAAGATATTTCTCGTGCACGACGCCATCTTGTGGGTGCTCGGTTTGCGGTAGTGCACGTTCAGTATGGTGATCGTTATCACGACCGACAGCCCGACCAGGATCATCGTGAAGAGGAGATACTTGCCGAGCAACGGCAACGACAGCGATGTCGATGGTATGATCTCGGATATCAGCAAGAAGAACATCGTCTGCGATAGCAGAATATTGATGCAGAGCGCGATCTTCTCGCCGGAGTCGGCCGGCAGGTAGAACGCGAGCACCGACAAGTACGAAATGCTTACGCACGGGACTATGAGATTCACCGTGTAGAACAGCGTTTTACGGCGTAGCGTTATGTTAAAGAAGATATCGGGGTACGGCTCGTGGCAACACGGATAGTACTTTGTGTGCCGCTCCGCCGGGACATCCAATATATCCCACTCCACGCTGGGATAGTACTCCCGTAGGTCGATGCCCACCTTCACTTTGTCGCCTATGTTTTGATTAATGTGCTTCAAGTCAATCTGCAGGAATAGATTTCGCGGGTCAGTGGACGTCGCATTCAGAATCTGTCAATATTCCCCGTTCTCATTGCACGAGTCGCGAAAGGAAGTCCCCGAAATCGAAATAACAGACTCGATAAACTCTCTCTCTCTCTCTCTCTCTCTCTCTCTCTCTCTCTCTCAAGGCACTTGGTCCGTGAGAACCCAGTCAAGAGTGTTATATGTTGAAAGGCGCAACAATCAATTATTTCTTCATGGGCTTCCAAAAACGTTACACGAGTGTGACCCCGATGTTCCTTTGCGATAATGTCCAAAGGATATGTCGTAAATCATATTTACAAACGTTGAACATAGATTTGTCAGACCTCGTCGTGTCGTATTGATCGTCAACTTTTTAACAGCATCGTCAGGGACCAGCTACCTTGATAATTCGTCGGCTCGAGGCGGTCACTTACTTGAAAGCCGTCGTACGTCCATGAGCCGAATTTCATGAAACAAGTCTGCTGGTCGAAAGGGAAATACTTGACGTTTATCTCACAGGATGACTTGAAGATCGCCGGCGGCGTCCAGAGGACCTTGCCGGTGTAATGCAAGATAGCCTTGGTCATCGTGGTCACACCGTACTCCCCGTCCGCGCTAAAAAAAAATATATATATATCGTCAGTTCGAGAAAGACGGAGAGAATTCACGCGCTGGAAAAAATGGAAAAAATTCTTCACCCGAACGTAACATACACAGCGTGCAGACGCTGAGCGAGAAAGAAAGAAGATCGGTGGGCAGGTGGGTTGCTCCGAAAATATCGCACAAGAATATATACAATTAATCTCTGAAATTGGCTTTATCGTTTCTCAAAGCGCATTCTCTGTTACAACAATTCAACACACTTTTCCATCCGATGAAACCAATCGAACCTCCTATCAACATCAGTTTCGATGCGACACGACACCTAATATCATTTTGCGGAAACCATTGGAGCAATTTACGTAACCCAAAGGCACGCATCGTGTTTTTTCTTTCCTTTTCTTCCCTTTCTTATTTCCTGATAATTCGCGTGATAATAACGACGGGATAGGCAAAGATGGCATCACGTACTTGTTATAAAGGACAATGTCGGGCAACCATATATGCTCGCTGGGCACGTACAGTTCGGTAACACCCCCGTATTCCAAGGGATCCCACTGGAACTTATGGTCCTGCCATTCCTGAAATTATTAATTTCATTTAGGTCACACATCCGGGTCCCGTCCGACCGGCGCGACATCTCCATAGCAACTGGAGCTCGCTCAAACATTCCCGCTTAATCCGAGACACTTACGTGCTCTAGCCAGACGTTTGTGGTGAGAATTTGGTCTTTCAGATTCTGCAAACAACGTACGGGCTTCGTTAGAGAAACAAGAACGGAGAGCTTCGATCGCGCGAGTAACGCGCGAGTGTACTCATGCAGATTTATCAATACATGAAAGAGAGCGTCAATTTATTTAGTTTTCTCATGTAATGTGCAGCAACTATATATAGCAACTATATACAGCTTATTGCACGTGATGAGAAAAAATGAAAACGAGAACACTCGTCGTGTTATCGATCTCTCGCGTTTGAGCTTTCAGAAACGGGAAATGTCGAGTGCGGGCGACTTTTTAATCGACGAGATTAATTATCAGTTGCTCTATAATCAATTGAATGAAAGCAATCAATTGGAAAGATCGTGTTAATTTCCGTCGTTTCAGCTGACGAAAATTTTTCAATCGACCAATCCCCAATTGGACAAAATTGGACATAATCAGCAATGCGACTTTCAAGGGATGACGACGCGGATGGAGGGAGCAGGGGGGAAGAGCAGCTTGTACTTTGTGAGACACGCGATGCTACGTACAAGATCTATCAATTGCGAGAGACGTAGTCCTAGTTTCACCACGACAGTGTCCGTATTGTTGGATACAGGTCGGATCAGCCGATTGTAATTTGAGAGGAGATCATCGTAAAGCCTCTTAGCGTCCGGATTGCTATTGCAGATCCCCACCGTGAGGATCAGGATAATTAAGGGTGATATCATTTCTTCTGGCAGTTGCACGATTAAATAACGGACGCCAAAAGAGCACCTGCAAAGAAATGTCATTGAATCGACAACACGAGGCCGGCCGATTGTGCGATTCAGCGTGCAATATTCGGCTTTGCCTTTCGAGACACAAACGAAACGTTAAATGGACGTTTTTGCCATTTACTCAATTGTCATTTATATTTTTCTCTCTCTTTCTCTCTCTCTCTCTCTCTCTCTCTCTCTCTCTCGCTCTATTTCTCTCCCTCTCTCTAGTATCGACCGGGGTTTCAATTTAATCTAACCGGTGCTTATAATGCTATGTCGATAGCTTAACTGAGCTTTGCGAGTTGTTAGTTGTAGAATTATGAACCTGTTGCGTTAAATGGTCGAGTGCTCATATTAATTTTTATGCAAAGTACCCGTCGGTTATGGAACTTTTATACATGGAGGAATTGATTCGCCAAAGAGTGTGAGAGATACGAGCTTTTTGCCGACAAATTTCAGGCCGTGACAACTTTTTGCTCGGAAATATCTGCACGCCGCACGATAACTCTCTACTACTGCAATAGTCTCGAGAAAATTGATGTAACAGGTTGTTTGATAAAAGGGTTCAGGATTTCGAGGGCAGATGGTACTCACAAAATGGAGGAGAAGAGTTCTAATAAACATGGGTCGAAAAATTAATATTGTCGGAGTTACGAACAATTATTTATTTCAATTAAAGCAAGTGACTTACTCGCTTCTGCTTTTGTATATATTTTCTGATTAATCTGTCCACATGTTATTTATCGTTGAGCGGGGAGTACCGTGCTCTTTTTAAAGGAATCCCTGAAAAAAGTCTCGTCGGTCTTGCTCGGAATGTAAACAAACACCTATTTTTCTTTCTTCTATTTGTACACACGCTTCACCAAACAATTGTTAGCCACATATCCTCGTGAACAGTGAACAATTGAACAGAGAGCTGCCACAAAGTTTTCATAGCGCGGTAAGAATGACATCGTCATTCACTCTAATCAAGAAATGACAGAAATGCATTTCATGTATGGCCGGACACAAGAAGCGAGTAAAAATCATCTGCCTTAATCAACATAAATAATTGCTCATAATTCTGACGATATTAATTTTTCGACCCATGCCTATCAGGAACTCTTTTTTTTAAACACCCTGGTTCGTGTCGCGGGTTCTATATTGACACTTGCTTTTTTACGAAAAATTCAAACCTTTCACAAGATACACCTATGAAACATCATCATTACATAAATCGAAAGATACTCGATTTCGAGACGATTAGCAAACAAAATTTCTCGATAAACATCTCAGATAATCCTGAGATAATCCTCTCTCAACACCATATCCTTCCTAGCACATCGTCGTGCTCGCGCTCGCTCGCTGCTGCGGAATTTATCCACTACGTATGAGGAAGAATAAATGACAAGTGTGTCCCGAGACGGAAGCCATCTCTCGACCGCTTATTGTTCGTGCTTGCACATCGTTCGACGCGATCGCCGAAGCCGCGCGACTGTGTGTGTGTGTGTCAAGCTGGTAAATCCGAACCTGATCGTGGCGTACTTACACACTCCAGCCGCCTCTCTACTCTCCCGAAATGCTGCGCCTATATCTCGTGTCCTTCTTCGTCCTACGTCATAGCCTGCTGCGCTACGTTCGAAATTGTGGCGCGCGCTTGTCGCTCGGCCGGCTCCACGCCGAGGCTCCAGGCTGGGCTTTTATTACTCGCGCGGCTCTCTCGCGGCCTGCTCGCGAAACGCCGCGGGAGAACGTCGGACAGAAATGATGTTGTGTGTACAGCCGCTGGACCACTGGGTGCTGCTGCGTGTGTCTCGAATTCGCAGGATCAATATACCATTGCGCATGTACCAGCGTGGCCGGCTTCGCCTCTGCGCGTTGCGAATGCACCTGCGGCGCGCAAGCTCCGCGGCCGGGCGACGCTTCGCGCAGTGGAAAAAGACACGCGCACGTCAGCCGGGCTCACGGCCGATCCTCCCGTCTCGCCTTCATCCTACGGGAGTACTACGCCCTTTCTCGATGATTTCCGCAGCTCCTCTCGATGCCCTCCCTCATCCTCTGCTATTCCTTTCGACCGTTTCGCAGCAGAGGCTCGATGAGTGCGACGAGACAAGGACGAGTGGAGAATTACGAGCGGAGAAGCGCTAATCGAGAGCGATAATCTCGATAGGGATCTTTGTACGAATTCGTTTGCTAAGCGGAACCTTCTCAAATTGTCTCGAGGGAACGATCGGCCGCGATGCATCAATCGAGAGAGAGAGAGAGAGAGAGAGAGAGAGGGGGGGGGGGCGAAAAGTAACAGCGCGAATTATCCTTCTCGATTATTAACGGTATGAATTGTGCATACGACGACGACGACGACGCAGATCTCACGTTTACGATAACTTTGTCATATTTGTTGTATTGTTATCGAGACGTCGCGTATTTTCACGATTCGTTTCTACGCCATGGTAATTCGATCATTCCGCGTCTGCTCCGCGAGCTTCGTTTCCCTTCGCGCCGTAAGCCCGATGATAAATGGGTTTATCTTTTCGCGTTTCCTCGCGTCGCGTGGCACTGCAGCTGCCGCGCGCGGATTCACTCCCGAGTGTCAGAGTCAATGTTAGGTAGTTTCTTTTTCCAGTGCGGTCCCGCAGTCCCGGGCGCGTCTGTATTGCGTTCACACATTTATATTCCACTCGGCGCCCTTTCTCTCCTGTAGAGACGTCAACATTGTTTCAAATTGTCCATAACGATTAAGCGTGACCGCGAGTTTCCCCTCGCCCGTGATGCAGTTTGTTCGCAAAATATGCAAATTCATTTAGCTTGCGAGAACAAAAGCGCATCTCTTTAGAGGTGCGGATCTTCCGAATAAGTGAGGAGGGAAGTAAAAAAATAGCCGGTTAAAGAAAAAGAAGTGAAAAGAAATTCCGTCTCGCTGTTTCGTCACGATAGTTATTTCTTGCTAAATAATCGCTCAGACGACATTCCTTCATGCGCTGACGGTCGCGCTGTGACGAGGGAGGAATTTGAAAATGTTCCTCACCGATTTCGGCCGAGCCTCGGATGAGTAATCGTAGAAAAGCGAGAAACGAGAGAGAGAGAGAGAGAGAGAGAGAGAGAGAGAGAGAGAGAGACACGAATTCTTTTACAAGTGCTTTCTCGCACGCTCCGGGATTGAGGCAACGAGTCGTAAACGCCGCGCTGTAAGTAGTCGCGAATGCGTAGCGTCAGCCCGGCTCTTGTACGTCGTACAATACTTCGCATAGACACTGGTCTGGCGCTACGCATCTGCACCTACTTAAAGCAAAGCAGCGTTCGCGAGTCGCGCTCGCGCGAAAAATGCGACTTGAGGCGGGAATTTGGTTACACACGTTTGAATTCGGCGTAATATTTCTCTGTACGCTTCGCCCCGACGAAATTGCGGAGATACGCGGAAATAAACACGCGCGAGATGAGAGTGCGCTTGAACGCTGCGAAACTTGCGAAAAGTTTAAACGCATAATTGCGAAGTTGACGTCGCACGCCACGCGAAACTCTTATGTGAAACGTTTTCTCACATATGTATTCCCGCGCTTCCGAAAAGATTCTTTCATAATTATGTAGAATTCGAGGGGGCTTCTTCCAACTGCTGCAGGGCGAGGAAGCACTGATGGAAAAAGAAAAAGAAAAAAAAAAAAAAAAGAGTACGTGTCTTTTATTCTCGACCTCTTTACGATATATCCAGAGTTCATCAGAATTGATGAACGACGCTCCCAGACTTCTAGATCTTCCCTCGCAAAGATTCGCTACGTGACGGCGACGGATGCTGCTGGCAATATTAACAGAGCGATACACTGCACGTAATTGCGTCATTATCGCACGAAATTCGCGAGTGGGCGTGCGGCTGCTTCAATTAAAACAAACAGTCACCTGCTCTAATTAAAATATAAATAATTCTTCACACAACTCTGACAATATTAATTTTTCGACCCATGTTTACCGGGACTTTTTTCCCCTCATTCTGTGAGCACTGTTTAAAATCCTTTCCTTTTTTTCTAACACCCTTATATCATCCTCTCGAGGACGAATTATTATTTCGAGAATAACGCACACACAGGTGTGCGTATTTTCTCCATTCATTTTTACATCCGTTTGACCACTCAGTTCCGATAATTCGGTAGAGCTGCATCTCTCTCTCTCTCTCTCTCTCTCTCTCGGGGGGAATGATTGTCCCGATACTCGGATTTCCGTATTGCGACTTCGGGCAAGTGTATCCCGCGATTGTTTGAATTTCGACGCACTACTTTTCGCGAACAATACATGTCCACCATTTCGCCCGTCTCTCCACCGCCGCGGTAGCGCGCGATGCTCCGGCCTAGCCCGGCATTTAGCATTTTTCTTTATAGCCGGAGCGGGGCATCGTACGCCCGTACATTACAGCACTTTATTCTTATGCGTAGGCTATTCTTCCATGCTTATACCCTCGCACGCGCGCGCGCGCGCGCCCACTTCGTACCACTTCGCACCACTTCGCCTTCCGTGCTCGATGATAAACGTGACTGTTTTTCCGCGTGTCCTTCCTTTTTTCTCCTACGGCTCTGCTGGAGGAGCAGCAGAGCAACAAGGGAGAACTGCAACGCCACTCTCGAGTGCAGGCCGCGTCGCGTCGGCTGGGATAACCGTCGTCCCTCCGCCGACACGCATAGCCACACGTTTTGTGCACGTGTCTGTGTCTGGTAGCAGACGGATGTACGACGCGATTGCACCGAGCGATCTCGCAGGTCTCGTAGGATACAGCACGACGCTCTCTCTCTCTCTCTCTCTCTCTCTCTCTCTCACACGGTTGCCTCGTGTGTATATCGCGGCGCGAAGAATCTGTTCTGTGAGTTCCTCATTCGACGCAGCATTCTCCCGCTCCCTTGCTCTCCTTGCTCACCCGTCGTTATGGGGCGTTTTATTGCTCGGCGGGAAAATTCCCGCGGAGAAATTTCGAACGGATATCCCGCTCTTACGTGTGCGCGGTATTAATTTCCTGACTACTTCCGGAACTACCGAACGCTCCAAAATCACCGGTGTTTGTAAAAATTGCTCCGATCTTCATACAACGATGCGTTTCGTACTTTTTTTTTTCCTTTTTCTTTTCTAGCGAACGTTGAATAAAATTAAATGAAATCGATAGACACGTTTGCTCACATGTATAACGAATTTCCCTTTTTTCCCAAAATTTGCCGATGATAAAATAGGTTGATCGTCGGTACACTGCAAACCCGAGTGTGTTATTCTGACGCGTATAAGCTGAAGCTTCCTTTACACGTATCTTGTCGTCTTAAATCACGTTTAAACGCGTTAAGTGATATCGAAATGCAATCAAACGACGTGATTTCAGACGACAAAAAAAGCGCGAAGAAAGCTTCAGCTATTATATGTGTCAAAATAACACACTCGGGTTTGCAGTGTAGCGGTAACGTTAATCGCCGAGCGATTTATCGTTTACGTGTAAGTATTTCCAAAATGGAAATATTTATTTTAATGAGACGTATGGATTTTGCCGATCTGTGTATCGGCAGGATGTTTTCGATCAACCGATGGGGTTTTTTATTCTGCAAAAAATTCCTCCTAGATTTGTCTTCCTTCTTTTCATCTCCTCGATTCACTGTTGCGTCCTCGGAACAGCTCTTTCTGCGGTGACAGCGGTAATACACGTGGATGAATACTTTTAAAAAAATTCTGATACAATCCAGACATAACGGAGAAATAACGTAACACTTTTTTCACAAGTGAGATAACGTAACTTCCCTCTTAAAGGGAAAGACGTTTTCAAAGAATATTATTGCATATGTAAAGATGGCGTCCATACTGCAGGTTGCCGTGTCCATACCATGTCACTGGTGTGTAAAATATACTGAATATCTTACCGAGGATATCTACGAATATCTGCTGAAAATGATAGTGACGTATTTCTCAACTTCGACAGTTCTGGCAACGAGCGGGGAGAGAGCGACATCTTTACAAAACGAGAACTACCTTCGGCGGGGAGTTTCTCGAGCATCTAAAAAATTACTTAATTCTTAATATCCCTATTATTACCCATAAAATGCTGCACAATTCGTGAGTCTGTAGTCGACTGTAGGCCGGGAATGAGCAAAGTTCTTTGCGGTCGCATTTATTTTGCAGATCCACTCCACGGTTGGGAAGCGACGATCTTGTCGACGAGGACGACCGATATATCGTGCTCCAAGTGCCAACATCATCCGCCAGGGTTATCAGTTCGCGCCCGAAATTGCGCCACTTGCTCGTCCGCTGCTTAATCGCAGGTGAGTTAGTCGAGCGTATTGAAGTTTCCAGCGATACGACGACGGAACGCGAAGCGGTGCGACCCGGCGACGATCGGTTTTGTTCTTTCGCGATGGTGTATCGGTAGACGGTTATCCGGTATTCGACAACTATTCTCGTAAAGTGAATCTGTAACCCGGCCGCCCCTTCCATGCGCCACACTTTAAATTATTAATCAGACCCAGCGGCTGGAATCTGCTCTCGGACAGAAACGATCTTCCTTAATCACGACGAAAGTTGTACACACCGGCGTGGTAGCCGGCGTGTTTGAAATTTCCGCCACCGTAGACCTCGAAGATAGAGCTAGAAACCGCAAGGAAACGCGCCCGGGCGCGCGCGAGAGGGACCGAGAGAGAGAGAGAGAGAGAGGGAGAGAGAGAGAGAGAGAGAGACAGAGAGAGAGAGAGAGAGAGAGAGAGACAGAACGATACCACGCTCGCGATACGAGAAAGTGGAGAGAACCGACGGCACAATCTGGACATAATCGCGGCCCGAGAGAGGGAGAGACGAAGTTGTCCGCAACAAGAGAGAGAGAGAGA